TAGGTAAGAACTTTCTCAATGGAACCCCAGCAGCACAGCAACTAAGAGATAGCCTAGATAAATGGGACTTCATAAAACTAAAAAGCTTCTGCTCAACAAAAGCAATGGTCTCTAAACTGAAGAGAACACCCACAGAGTGGGAGAAAATATTTGCCAGCTACATATCAGAGAAAGGACTGATAACCAGAAAATATAGGGAACTTAAAAAACTAAATTCTCCTAAAATTAATGAACTAATAAAGAAATGGGCAAGTGAACTAAACAGAACTTTCTCAAAAGAAGAAATTCAAATGGCCAAAACACACATGAAAAAATGGTAAGCATCTCTAGCATAAAGGAAATGCAAATTAAAACCACACTAAAATTCCACCTCACCCCTGTTAGAATAGCCATCATTAAGAACACCACTAACAACAGGTGTTGGCGAGGATGCAGGGAAAAAGGAACCCTCTTACACTGTTGGTGGGAATGTAAACTAGTACAACCACTCAGGAAAAAAATTTGAGGGCTATTTAAAAATCTAAACATTGATCTACCATATGATCCAGCAATACCACTCTTGGGGATATACCCAAAAGAATGTGACACAGGTTGCGCCAGAGGCACCTGCACACCCATGTTTATTGCAGCACTATTCACAATAGCCAAGTTATGGAAACAGCCAAGATGCCCCACTACTGACGAATGGATTAAGAAAATGTGGTATTTATACACAATGAAATTTTATGCAGCCATGAAGAAGAACAAAATGTTATCATTCGCTGGTAAATGGATGGAATTAGAGAACATCATTCTGAGTGAGGTTAGCCTGGCCCAAAAGACCAAAAATCGTATGTTCTCCCTCATATGTGGACATTAGATCAAGGGCAAACACAACAAGGGTATTGGACTTTGATCACATGATAAAGCAAGAGCACACAAGGGAGGGGTGAGGATAGGTAAGACACCTAAAAAATTAGCTAGCATTTGTTGCCCTTAATGCAGAGAAACTAAAGCAGATACCTTAAAAGCAACTGAGGCCGAGAGGAAAAGGGGACCAGGAACTAGAGAAAAGGTTAGATCAAGAAGAATTTACCTAGAAGGTAACACACATGCACAGGAAATCAATGCGAGTCAACTCAACTAGCAAAAACCCTTGTTCCTTCCTATTATTACTTATACTCTCTCTTCAACAAAATTAGAGATAAGGGCAAAATAGTTTCTGATGGGTAGCAAGGGGGTCAGGGGGAAAGGGAGGGGACGGGGGGCGGGTAAGGGTGAGGGTGGGGGAAGGGGGGAGAAATGACCCAAACATTGTATGCAAATATGAATAAAAAAATAAAAAAAAAAAGAAAAGCTCTTTATTAATTATTAGAGCATAAACTGTTGATTTGTTGCCAAAGAGTCGTAAAATTTTATTTTGTAAAAACAAGCTTGACTTAAATTTTCAAATTTTCATGGAAATAGTGCAGTGACTTGTTAAAGTTCATTGGAACAACACATGTAGGAAAAAACACTTATGTGTCAGAGAACCACACCAGGTGGGTCTCTCACGAGGGTGATGATTAAAAAGTACTTGAAAGTGTGTTTTCCTAAAACAGGTGCTAACCCTCTTCAGTCACATTGTTAAGAACACTTGTAAAAATCAACATTCTAGGTATGTATATGAGATAGCATGATTATATGTTATCAGCTGTTAATATTGCTCATAACACTCATGTTGGTTTGCACTAGATATTTAGACCTACAAACCAAGAAAAACACAGGTCCAATGATAAAATAAGGCATTAAACAATTACAGATATATTTAGGAACACAAAATAAGAAATCTCATATTATTTTAGCACACTAGCTCAGCACTTGAGCTGAGGGATCAAAGCATTTGTGTTTTCAGGTTGGCATTTCCACTTCTCAGCTGTCTTCTTTGGGCAAGTTACTTGTGACAAATAAAATTGAAATAAGTAAGAGTGGCTACTTTATAGACTTGTGCTCAGTTCATATCAGTTGTCACTATTACTACTATGGTCTTTATTGTTATCCTAGTGGCAAAAGACACCTACTTTGCGGAGTAATTTCTTCATTACTTGTCATTATGATACTAGCTACTTTAGGGATATTCGTTTTTGTAATTATGCAATTTTTCTGATTATAAAAATAATTCACTTTTTCCTGTTACTCCAAAATCAACAATAGGATTAGCACCTGTTTGAGCAACACACACTTTTCAGTACTTTTTAATCGTCACCCTCGTGAGAGACCCACCTGGTGTGGTTCTCTGACACAGAAGTGTTTTTTCCTACATGTGTTGTTCCAATGAACGTTAACAAATCACTGCATTATTTCCATGAAAATTTGAAAATTTAAGTCAAATTTCATTTTCACAAAATAAAATTTCAAGACTTTTTGACAATGAATGAACAGTTTATGCTCTAATAATTAATATCCCTCACTAAATAATATTTATTCAAGTAATGATTTATGGATCTACCCAAATCTTTTAAATGAATACATACACCTTTATAATAGTTATACAACGTTGTTCAAACAGTTTCTCTTTTCATATGCATTTAGTGGTTGTACTCTTTGGTGGCTGTTACCAGATACACCCTTTCTGTCTTTGTTTTTATATTTTACATATCCACAGACTCATGTCTTTAGATCAGATATCTCATTGCTTTGCTGGATCACAGGGTATATGTATTTAAATGGACAATTGCTACACTCAGCAGAAATTCCTTTGGTTGTTTACATCTTATTTGAATTGTCCATTCCTTCCCTTTTTCCAGTTTGCTCTTTCATTGGTTTTTTTAAGAACCTCTTTATCTGATGCGTGTTGTCTTCTCATGCAGCAAATATTTTCTCATAGACTGTTCCCTTTGCTTATGTTTTTTCACGTAGCTGTTTACATTTTTATAGAGTTAGATCTAACAGGTGTTTCTTTTCTCCTTTTCCTCCTCATTATTTTTATTTGGTGGTACTGGGGTTTGAACTCAGGGTCTTGTGCTTGCTAGGCAGGCATTCTATCACTTGAGTCATCACTTCCAGCCCTGTTTGCTTTAGGTTACTTTTTCAGAAGTTCTCATTTTTGCTCAGGGAAGGCCTTGGACTGTGATCCTCCTAACTATGCCTCTTGCACAGCTAGAATTACATCTGTGTACCACCACACCCAGTTTTTGTTTGTTGAAAAGGGGTCTCACTAACTTTTTGCCCAGGCCAGTCTAAATCGTTATCCTCCTAATCGTGCTCCCCCTCCTGAGTAGCTGAGATTATAGCTGAGCGAGGTGGGAACCTTTCAGATTACTTTTTTATTTAAAGATTCTGTTCCCAGGATCATAAAAGTCTTCCATATTTTAAAAATAAACTTATAGTTGTATACATTTAATTTTTTATTTCATTTCATTTTAAGTCCATTTCGAATAATGACTAAATTTTGTTTTCCTCTAAATACATAGTCAAATTCCTAATAGCTTTTTCTTGAAAAACTTAGGGCTTTGTACTTGCTAGACAGGCAATATAGTTATTACATCATGATGTATAGTTGTACATCATGACTCTTATTGAAGATTAATAATTGTGAGTGTAGTATTAGGTATTTTGCATTTCCTTTTAATTCTCCAATTACCTTGAGAGTGTGATGCTAGTCTCATTCCATCTGTTTTACAGGTGGATGAAGTCACTTCAGGGAGATCTTAGAACTTTGACAGAGAAGGTGCAAAGTGGTAGAGCGAGGGGACAGAACATGGATCTCTACCTCCCATTTCCAAGCCCTGTTCCCCTAATCACCAACCTTATTATGCAGCTTAAATTTTAATAGTCTCCTCCTGCCTCACACATGACAAGAAGCCAGTATCAGTGGCCCACTGAGTCCTGGCCACAGGCTTCCTCTGTCCTCTTGGCCCCACCCCTCTACCTGCTGTCCCTCAGCCCCGCCTGCCTGGCCCTCTCCTGAGCAGCTGGGCACAAAGCATTCTTTCCTCTCCTTCTCAGCCTTTCATTTCTTCAGGGAGAGTGTCTCTGATCTGATTCACAGCTTGGCAGAACGTAACAAATGAATCACAGAATTGCAGAGCTGAAATCCACTCTTACCAACCACCAAGAGACCAACCGTGAACTTGAACACAAACTGAGTTGCTTTTTATTTTTGTCTGTAATATTAGTGGAAGAGTCAACACATACCAGGCTCAAGTGTCACATCAAGATATTACTGAAATTACAATTTTATGGCATGTTAATGTTACTTTTGGAATGAAATTTCTAAACAGTAGACCTGTAAAACGTGCTTGATGGGATGGTCTGTTTTCTTCAGTTCTCTGAAACTTCTTGCATTTTAAAAACTAGTGTTTAGCACATAAGTCTTTTGTTTTGTTTTTGGGATTTGGGGAATAAAACTATACCCCAGCCCTGTTTTCAAATAAGCTCTCCTCCTCCTCAAGTTCACTAATTTAAAAAGATGTCCTAGTTGGATGAAAAACAAATGTCTCATGTCTCACTGTACAGTAGGGTGACTGTGGACAGCAATAATGTGTATATATTTCAAAAAGCTAGAAGAAAGGGTTTTGAAGTTTTTTTTAACCATAAACAAATGACAGATGTTTGGGAAGACAGATGTGTACACCTTTATTTGAACACTCCATGAAGAATACATGTATCAAAACTTCACACAGTACCTCATAAATATATAATGTTATCAATTTTAAAAAAATAAGTAAAATAAGCACCATGAACACAAGGAGTAAAAGTCATGACAAATGTTTGCCAACCTTGTAAAAGAAATGTGACTTGAGTTTTCTTTTCTTTTTTTATTTTTAAATTTTGGTGGAACTGGGCTTTGAACTCAGGGCCTTATGCCTGTTAGGTAAGAACTCTAACACTCGAGCCACAAGCCCTCAGTGTGAATTTCTTCACTGTGGAGTTCTGAAGAGTCAGCTCAGTTTATTTTTCAGTGACAAAGCCAGTTTGATTCCCTGTTCCCTCAACTCAGGCCTTTTCTTACCTGGCCTTCTCTTGCTGTGCTGTTTCAGTCCTCAGGAACCAGTATCACCGTGGACATTGCTGTGATGGGTGAAGCTCACGGGCTCATTACAGACCTGCTGGCTGACCCCTCCCTGCCCCCCAACGTCTGCACGTCCCTGAGGGCAGTGAGCAACCTGCTCAGCACCCAGCTAACCTTCCAGGCCATCCACAGGCCCCGAGTGAACCCCGCCGTTTCCTTTAGTGAGAACTACACCTGCTCAGATTCCGAGGAGAATTCTGAAAAAGACAAGATGGCAATTCCCAAGGTAGGTATCAATGACACTCCCATCAATGAGTTAGACTTTAATTGTCTCCTTTGTTTTTTTCTTGTCACTCCAAACCCATCTTCAGATTCCTGATGTTCCTGGGGGAAGATGTGTCAATTATGGTGACAGAAGTAGTAAAAGTTTTAACATAAACACTTCTGACCTTACACTTGAAAACATTTTATAAATAGAAATTTTACCTCTTGTGTTTCCTTTTTTGAGCTCTCAATAAGCTTTTACTTCTATGTGCTGGGCTGTGTTCGAAGTGAGCAGGGTATGTCAGCAAAGACAAAATAAAACAACAAAAACACAAACAAATTCTGCCTCAGTCTGCTTAAAATCCATTGCCTTCTAAAACTGAAGGCTGCCTTGCTTTATCGTTTCTTAGTCTGACCTCCTTCAAAGTATGCTTATGATTTTCTCAAACACATGATTTGGGGGCTTGTGCTTGCTAGGCAAGTGTTCTTCCACGTGAGCCACACCGCTAGCCCTTTTTTGCTTTAGTTATTTTTCAGATAGGGTCACGTGTTTTTGCCCAGGTCTGGCCTTACACCCATGCTTCTCCTACCTACATCTCCTATGGATAGTTGGGATTACAGATATATACCAACACGCCAAGCTTGACTGAGAAGGCTTTCAACCTGATCTCTGCCTATCAAGGTGCTGGGATTATAGAAGTGCACCACCATGCCCAGCTCAAGTATTATGTTCAGAGCAGTTTTAGTTAATTGTAGGCTATTTAAAGTAAAAGATAGCTTATTGACTTATATAAACTCATATCTTAGTTGTAAAAAAAGAAGAAATGATCCAATTCTTTCCTTTTACATATAGGTTGAACATCTCTTATGCAAAAATACCAAATGCTTCAAAATCTAAAGGCCTTGGGACACTAACCTAACAACTTACAGATTTCAAATTTGGCTCAAGCAGTAGAGTATCTGCCTCACAAATGCTAAGCCCTAAGTTCAAATATTAGTACCATCAAAAAATAAATAAGTACAAATTTCAAATTCAGAGCATTTGATAACCACCATTGGGGTTACTCACTTGGTGAGATCTGTGCAAATATCCCACAACAAAAAAAAATCTGAAACACTTTTGGCCCCAAAGTGTATCAGATGAGATGCTCAACCTGTGAGTTTTCCAAAATAAATCATCATAGCAGTCTGTACCCAATCCAAACCTTAATATTTGTTAAAAATAAGTTATATTAAAGGCTTAAAAGGTCAGAATTCCAATGGTGTCTGGTCCATGAAGCATGGGCTTTTATTCAGGAGATGGCAGCTAGGTCTTTGAGTTGCTGGTCCATCAGTAGCATCTGTGTGCCTGCTCTGGGGAGCTTCTTGACTCAGTAATGTGATTCAAATAACTTTGGCATTTGGATATTTATATAGTTTCCTTCAGACATCTTCTCTGAGAAAGATATACCACACCTGATACCACAGTATGCAAATGAAGAGAGATTCATGGATTCCTTATGGTCTCCAACAGATTTAAGGCAAGAAATCTGGCACCATCAGTGCTTGACCTTTCCTCTTCCTTCTGAATTGTCTTCTAGATACATATTCAGATCTTAAGGATACACTGAAACTTCTGCACATCAGAGCTGTTCTTTTTTTTTTACTGTTGTATTGGGGGTACATTGTGACATTTACTAAAGTTCTTAAAATATGTCATAGTTTAATTCAACCCTTCCATTATTCTCCTTTATCCCTCCTCCCTCCATTCCTAGAATAGTTTCTGCAGGTCTCATTTTTCCATTTTCTTGAATCTCTAAAAAAATTTTAACCATCTTCAGAGGAGCAGGATGTATCTTTGAAAACCATGCTTACACAGTTGGTTTACTAGGAACAATTACATACAAATAAAATTGGGTAGAGTTTCAACCTATTATGATTCTTACTATGGTTTCACCATGAGAACACCTGTGCTTTAATGCCTGAGGTTAAGACCCTGTTTGGAGTGCTGGTGCTAAAAGTACCAACCCAAATTCTTACTTCAGTACCACATAATACCACATGTGCCCCTTAGGATATGGTGGGAGGAGAAATGGAAGAGAAAGAGCAGCAGGGTGGTTAGCAGAGAGAAGCTGATACTGATGACATTAACCATAACTCTGCTGATTAAATCACATTTGCATAAGAGATGTGGTGTATTCTGTGGAAGAACTATATTCTTACATGTACCTCCTGTCATTTGTAAATCAAGGAGCTAAAAATAAACCAATAGCATTTGGGATTATAGACTATTGTACAAGATGACACAAATTGATCCATGCCCCCAAACAAAGGACATTTATAGAAAAACAATGTGTGTAAGAGATGTGTAAATCTTGCTGAAGTGATGCAGTTGTAAAATGATCACAGAAGTGAACGAGTCCCATCCCTCGGTTCCCATATTTGCATAAACAGTGAAATGAATATCCCAAATGTTATTTTTATAATCAATGATTTTTTTCTTTTTTATTAGCATATGTTAATAGTACAAAAGAAGGGTTTCATTGTAATATCTACAACATGAATTTAATGTACTTTGATCAAGTTTGTCCCATTTATATTTTTTCTTAGCTTCCTTCCCTGCTTCCTCCATTTTAACTATTTTTGGTGGATTTCATTATGTTATTTTCACACATCCATATAATGCAATTCTATAATATTATATAACATTCATCTACCACCATCTTTTCTGCCATCTGTTGGTTTCCTCCAAACAGTCGTCCTTTACAATCATACCATGTTTTAATTTTTTTTAAGGTCCGGATCCTGCAGATGAGTAAAACCGAGCACTATTTGTCTTTCTGAACTTGGTTTATCTCACTTCACATGATGATCCATCCATTTCCCTGAAAGCGACATAATTCCATTCTTCCTTATGGCTGAATGATATTCCATGTGCCACATTTTCTTTATCCAGTCACTGGTTGTTGGGCACCCAGGCTGGTTCCGTATCTCAGCTGTTGTAAATAGTGCTGTTATAAACATGGGTGTGAAGGCATTTCAACCCTGTGCTGATTTACATTCCTTTGGACCAATGCCCGAGAGCAGTGTATCTGGATCATATTTTTAGTTTAGTGATAAGCTTCCATACTGATTTCCATAGTGGCTGTACTCCTTCAACTATGCCAATAGTGTACAGTGGTCCCCCTGCCCAAATCCTTGCCAAATTTGTTGTTTGTGTTCTTGGTGGTAGCCGTTCTGACTGGGGTAAGACAGAATCTCAGTGTCACTTTGATTTGCATTTCTAAAGATGTTGAACATTTTCTCATGTATTTATTGGAGGGAGCCTTTGATTGAATTTCTGAGAATCCAAATTTTAGATAGTTGATATTCAACTCGTATGGTTCTATCAACTTACCGCCAATTAAAATGTCATTTCCTTCCATCATGTAACACAGACTTTAGTGTTTTCAAATAAACTTGGTGACACAATGAACACTCTTTCTTAGCGCTTGAGGAGAAGTTTGCCACCAGGCTTGTTAAGAAGAGTTTCATCAACTTGGACAACCACAACCTCTGCCACAGGTCTGCCCACCTTGGAGCCCGCACCAGTACGGAGGGACCGTAGCGCCAGCATCAAGCCGCATGAAGCACCTTCCCCCAGGTGAGAGCCTGATCCTGCTGGCCTCATGTCACTTACAGAAGGTACTTACCAAAAGGGAATCATATGAAGCCAAAAGTGAGTTAGACAGGGAGGGCGGCCTAACCGATTGTGGTGAGTTAGAAGCCAGCTTTGAGTGGAAAGTCTGCATAGTTTGAGCCTGTATAGGCAGAAATGCCAGATAATTAGGCTTTAACTGTGTTGTGTACATTAAGGAAAAGTAACCCGAGATGATCTGTATGTTATGATAGTGAATGGATAGGGTTGAGCCCAGAATAAAGGTAGGCTAGGTTTTACCTACTTTAATATCCATACTGAGATCATTAAATCAAAGGCATCCAGCCTGACACTTGGAAATGATTGCTGGATACCCCTAGCCCACCAGACCAGCTGTCCTAACCCTGTGGGGAAGGAAAAAGATAGATCAAAAACCAGGTCATCATCCAAAGAACACCTGGCTAAATATGTTTTGTATGGCATTGGGGATCAAACCCAGGACTTATGCATACTCAGTAAACACTAAAGCACCGAGCTATACTCCAGTCTATACCTAGACTTTATTTAGTGTATTAATTCCAACTTGCAGAGTGGCTCTTTTAGTCAGCTTTCCTTAACTGTGACAAAATACCTGAGATAATCAAGCCAGTAAAGGAAATAGTTCATTTTGGCTCACAGTTTCAAAGGTTTCCATCCATGGTCACTTGACCTTATTGCTTTGGGTCTTTGGCAGTTCATGGTAGTTCTCCTTCAAGGGCACATACTCAATGACCTAACTTCCTTCCATAGGAACCACATCCTAAAGGTTCCAACACAGCCCAGTAGTACCACAGGCTGGGACCAGACCTTTAACACATGCACTTTGGAGAATATTCAAGATCTAAACAATAACAGTGATTCAAAATCCAGAATTGCCAAAGCTAAAGAAAATATGATATTAAGATCAAAAAGATTTTTTTTTCAGTACTAGGGTTTTAACTCAGGGCCTTCACATTGATCCACTCCACCAGCCCTATTTTGTGATGGGATTTTTCAAGATAGGGTATTGTAACTATTTGCCCAGGCTGGCTGTGAACCATAGTCCTCCTGATCTCTGTCTCCTGAGTAGCTGGGATTACAGGCATGAGCCACTGGTGCCTGGCTTAAAAAGATTTTTGAAGAAAGCACCTACTAAAAGTGCTCTTAAAGGGAGCTATTGTGTTTGCTTTTTTTAACTTAGAAGAAAAATACTTTATAGGTCTTCAATAATTATAAGAATGTTTCCTATAGAATTTCAGGATTTTGAAGCATATATATCAGGTTCGTTGCTGATATAATAATGGAAAAATATCCACATCTTTGTTGAATTCCATGATAGTGGGATGAAAAGTAATTTTTTTCTGATTTTAGCCTCTATTATAAATAAAGCATCATGATGAGATTAGCAAATAAATGGAAAACTTCAAAATCATAAGAATTTAATTACTTGCTTTCTTGATTAAAAATGTTAATTGGTCTCTTCCATATTAATATCTGTGTTCTAATAAGCAAACTCAAACAGTTCTTTCATCTGTCAGTGTAATTCCACTGCACCTTACTACCTGGACTTTTGTAAAACTTAACAATGTGTCAGAAGGGGAGGTCACATAGTGTTTCATGAACAGTTCCTCAAGGATGAAATGAGAGGTCATTGGTAATAGTCTCCCTATAAATATTGACTATAGTCACTTGCTGTTGTGCTAAGACCTGATAAATGGTAGTAAGCAAATATTGGTAGTGGTTAAATATTGCTTAAGAAAATGAATTATGACATGTGGGCATGTCATAAGACAGGTTTCTTATTTTAACAGTGCACCTTGTCAAGTTTGCTGTCATAATAGAGTTAATGTTCCATGATTTTCTTAAGCATAGGATGGATGACTACAAAAAGTCCATTCATGCCTTCTCAAATACCTCCTTCCTTTCTGCTATTCTTTGTTACTTTTGGTTAAATCTCATTTCATTTATTCTTCTCTTAGTCTATTAAATGAAATTTGGGGTTAAAATTGAAATCTCACAAAGAAGAGAGTTCCAAGAAATTCTTTGAGCTTAACTCCCAAGGATCCCATTATTATGCCTTATAAAATAAACACTCAAGCTCAAATATTTTCAAAAGAAATGAGGAATGGCATATCCCACTCATTCTCTTCTCCCTAAATTACTGATTGATGTCTTGGCCTCAATCACAATAATTATCCTTATTTTCACTATCTTGTAAAAAGTCCTAATATAAAACCTAAAAGTGATAAAACTTTTTACCATTATAAGACTTGAAATTCACTATAAAAGACAACTTAGCCCATTAAGGTACAACCACATATAAGTATGTGACCACACTATCTCCATCCCAGGATTACAAACCCAAGTGAGAGCCCTCTTCATTTAAAGGAATAATGCCAAAACTACACTGGTTTCAAAACCCTTTTGAGATTAAGCCCTGCAGTTTTGTCACTTTTAATTCTCTTATTCCTTCCTTTCCATATCTGTCATTTCATTGAACCTCTTCAGGAACTGCAATGATCCAAAGAACAAGAAATAAAACTTAAAAAACAGTTCACAACTTACATCCCTTTAGGTACATAACTTCATAATTTCCTCCTGGGAAATCTTAAATAGTTTGGTATAGTGAACACAGGACTGAGTCAGAAAGATGTGGGCCACACAGAGAGGCCATTAGCTTGCTGGCCATGCCAGCGCTGGAATCATTAGCCACAAAGCGCTATGCATAATGGGAGGAGCAAATTAGATGGAAGAATGCCAGTAGATTTTTGTTTGTTTGTTTTTGTTTTTTTTTTTAAATTGTTTTATTATTCATATGTGCATACACGGCTTGGGTCATTTCTCCCCCCTGCCCCCACCCCCTCCCTTACCACCCACTCCGCCCCCTCCCTCTCCCCCCACCCCCTCAATACCTGGCAGAAACTTAAACAGAATTTGGAGAATGGGAACTGATGACCTGGGTCACACGCCAAATCTTCCCACGTTTACTTTGTAACCGTCCCTGCTTTTGTGTATTAGGCAAAAAGGAAGCTTGTAAGCTTGGTAAAAAGACTATTACTAATAAGAAATTTAGGGTATAGGATGGAATTGATACAGGCATAAAGGCTTGTGAGTAGGGTTAGGGTCATCAATTTCAGGCATGATCCTATTACACTGTTGTATCAACATGAAGAAACCAGGCAAAGTGTTCCCTCTCCAGGATACAAATTATTCACCATTAGTAACATTTAAACAAGAGTCAGGAAGTATGTATCAGTGAAAAGTTGAAAGCTATCCTGCCGCTATGCAAAGCAGTAAGTGAAAGTGCCTGTAAGTGCACTTTACAACATATACAGGTTTATTCTATTTCATTAATAGTTTAATGTAATAAATTAATGTATATTCATTAAAATGGGATGAATGTGACTGTGATTTTATTTATCTTGATTTCATTAAATCCCTATATATTAAAGGTACTCAACTGTTGTACTTTACAAACTGTTCAAAATGAGTGTATTTTAAGTATTTTTATTTGGAAAAAAAAGTAGAAGAAAGTTTTTTGACTAGTCTCCATAAGATACCATTTAGAGAAGTAACAATTTATTCATTATATAATATACTAAGAAATAAAAAATTGTAGGTAACACATATACTATATAAAGTTTTTCACAGCAAATCTTACCAGTTACTCAATCCAGATAAGCAAGTCAAAAGAGACTAACACCATAAGGAAATAATTGGTTAGTTTTCTAAAACACAAAATTCTCTTTTGTCTTATTCTAAAAATTCCAAGCATTTGTGAAATGCCTAGAGTGAGATTTCTAAAAGGACTGAAACAAATATTTTCTGTGCTTTCTTCAATTTTATTTGATAATTGCTGGCATTCATGCTATACTCATTTTAAATGTCTCCTTTATGATATAGAATATATATAGCATATGTATTTTATATATATATATATATATATATATATAAAATACTTAGGCTAATAGTTGAAGAAAGAAAAACAAGAGAGAGCATGACAAAGGGTAAAGGGTGGCGGGAGAGAGAGAGAGAATTATTATTAAGACATACATAAGTGTCAAACATCAAATTGACTTCAAAACACTTTACAGGTTTTACTGATTTCCTAATTTACTGATAATCAAAGGACACAGTCATAGCAAGACACTTACCCAATATTCTTCCCTCTGAGAGATCTGAGGCTGTTAGTATAGTTCTTTAAATGTCTTTTTGTTCACATCAGCACATGTTCTGGTTTGAATGAAATATGCAAGGTCCAAGCAATGCATGCCTAACATTGCTTGCACAGGAGGAGCCATTTGGTTAATGGAAGCACTCTAACATACTCCATTAAATATGCAGCTTATAGGGTAATCTATAACATCCACGATGCATAACTCCACCAATTTCAGGTTTATTTGCAATAAGCCAGCCAGGCAGATCAGGTATCTGTAGTTTATAGTGCCAATCTAAGGTTGGAAAAAAAAATGAAACTGTCAAATTATATGCATGCAAATTATAGATTTTACCCAGGGCCAAATTCAGTAGTGCTTGAAAGGACATGGGTGCCAGCAAAACACAGACCCAGGACTTTTCACTAATTGGGATGAACACTGTTTCAGATTTAATGTGTAAGATTTTGAGCAATATATGCAGAGAAATTTGCAGAGAAATTTTGGAATATTTCCAAAATTCATCATCTCATTAATTACATAGCTTCTATAACATTCTCTAGCCCAACCCTCTGTACATCTATTCTTTTGAGATTTATTTTCAGTGAGCAACCTAGACAGACCAAGCACGTGCTTCATCCAGGATGAAGAGTACCATTATTCTTTCCCTAGTGAATATCATCAGTGTGTTTAGCCTATCACAGATGTCATTGGCATGTTGATAAGGAGATTTAACAGGATTATCACTTTCTTTCCTGGATCTCATCAGTGGAGAAAAATGTAGGATAAAGCTCACTAGTAACTTTTTCCTTCATAAGCAAACACTGCAATGAAGTATTATGTTTGAGTGGTTTTATAAAAATATAATTTTTGAATATAGATACACCAAGAATAATAGACAATAAAAACACTATAGTGTAAGCTTTCTGTGAGTGATTACTCACATTAGTATACCTACAACTTAGCCAGGGAATCTGCAGGCTTGTTCTAGAAAACCTATGAGGAGCAGCATTAGAGATGGTGGAAGGTGTTTGATTGTGTTAAAAGGAGTCAAACGCCATCTTTTCTCTCTGTTAACCAGTGTGCTTGTTGAGTGAACAATAATACCCCTGAGTTAGAGACTGAGCCTATACAACCCATTCTGTCATTTGTAAGTAGAGCAGTTCTGTCAACAAACCTGGATTTACATACCAATCTACTGGAGAAATGATGGTTTGGATCCTGGCAAGATTTGCCCAATAACTGATGGAAAAATCTCTTCATTTTTCTTTAAATCCTGTCTTTACAGTGCTGTTATTCCTGATTCTTGGAACAACCCAATGATGATGACCCTCACCAAAAGCAGATCCTTCACTTCATCTTACACTGTTTCTTCAGCAAACCACATAAAAGCTAAAAAGCAAAACCGACCAGGTAAGTAACCTCCTGGGAGAAGAGTTCATGCTCTGAATGTGAGTCATCAGTCACCACATTTTGAGTGCAGATATTCTCAGGGGGCACTGGACTTAGATGTCCCTGGTATAACTGCTCTAAAGAGAAAATACGTCCATAACCAATTGGTGGCTTAAATTTATGCATTGTGTGATGGTATGAATTTTTTCTAGGCTACTCTACTAGATTTCCAACCTGGAACTTATGGCACGAGAAGGAAATTAGTGTCACCCATGAAGGATAATCTCTGGGAGCATCATGTTACAAATTTCAATCTTATTATTAATCTGTTAACCAAAAATTACTTTCAAGTAATTGTTTGAAGAAATGATTCATTTACTATGTGTGAATCTGATAAGGAATTCAAATATCAAAATTAAGAGTAATAGAGTTTTAAGTAAGAAAGTAAAAGGATTTGGGGCAAGATTGTATAACCTAATCAGGGTCTGACACTGGGACAGACTTTTTATCAGATTCTGTCTCTGAATTGCCCTTCTCTTAGAATCCCCATTGAGGGCTGGTGGTGTTACTTGAACTTCCTCCTCCTTGCAAGAACTAACTGCCATTTTTTTTTTTACTTCTAAATAGTATAGAAAATTTTCATGAGGTTTTCAGTACTTCCTGCTTAGATTCTTAATCTTCTGTCTTTAGCAGCTTAAGAACTCACCACATGGCTCCAGAGGAAACTGCCCCCATTCTCACCAAGATATCAGACATGCAAGTTCTGGCTGCCATGCAACCCGAACTCCAATTTTTATGTCATCGCCCTCATGACATTGCTAAAAGCTCTGCTGGCTTGTTTCCCTAATAGCTACCCTCTCTGCCTGGGTTTTAGCCTCTTGTTCCGTGCCAATGGTCAGTAAATAATGCTCGGAGGAAGAACAGTCACAGGATTTTGGCTTCCCCCTGCCAGGTTCTCTTCCATCTGGGAACCAAATCTCTCAACACTGGATGCTTTTTAGCTTTCAAAGCTCTTTCTTTTTCTTCTTCTTTTTTAAACTCAGTTTTTCTATTCTCAAAAAGGCATGGGTTTACTTCAAATACTGCATGGTAGTCAAAAGTAGAATTGCTTAAAATAGCAATGTTTATATGAGAAACATGTCAATGTCTCTTACATTGTACTAATATTTCAAGAGACCACCTAGAAAAATAAACAATTTTTAAGAGACACAATTAAAGGATTGATCTCTGTTGTTATTTATTACATCTGGTTAATAAAATTTTATACTTTCTCTTCCTTTGATGACCTGCTTTGCACTAGCTTACTACTTCTCAAAACCATCACCTACTTTGCTTAAATCTCTACTGTTTAGTGTAGGAATATACTTCCTTTGGAAAGTATGAGTTTATTGGAATTCCATTGCTGAAAGAAACCATTAAAGGTAATCCAGCTTTCCAACAACTAATCTGATTGTCTCTGCTTTGGAGATGTTCATTAAACTTTGTAATTTAGAAGTCATTAATGATCTGAGAAATAGAATTCAGTTTTCACTAGGACCAAGTAATGTAGGTAAATCCCTAACTGAGGTTTCCCAGAGAGCAAATACAGACCAGTTTGGGAATAAGGAGACTCATTTGCAACACAAGCAAAGTTACAGACTGAATTTGAAAGTTCCAAATTAACCAGGATACTCTTAGAGGGCCATTAAAGTGGTCCTAGGTCTATAGGACCCCTTCTCTTTCTTGATAATTATTAAGGAAACCATCACCAGTTGAGATTTTAACACATCAAGTTGAAATAGGAGACTACAGCCATGATCATTAAATGCACAAGGAAACACCATCAGAGTTACAGAAACAACAAAAAAATTCTTCCTAGCTCTCTGAAAAGGTTGAGATAATCCAATGTTAACATATTTTATTGTTGTTTAATTAAAAAACTTACATATTTAAAGAAATTTGAGATGAAAATAGTAGCAATGAGAAAAGATGTAATTGAAGATCAACTGAATGTATCTCTTGGAAATGTAATCAAAGAAATATAATGGGTTAAATGGCATAACAGACTCTTGCAGGGAGAGTTAGTAAACTGGATAAGGGAGGGCCTAAAGAAATTACCCACCATGCAATACAGAGGAGGAACTGGAAAATACAAGAGATTTTAGGAGATACACAAGAAAGAGTTTTAGAGTCTAAAATGGATAATTGTAGTCTTAGTGGCAAGTGGAGGACAAAACATATTAGAGGAGAAGCAGGATAAGTAGAAAAGAAATTTACATGTAGACCTAAGATCATTAAACTTCAAAATACCAATGGGCAAAAATATTCCAAAAGTCAGCCAGAGGAAAGGGAGTCAGTTGGAAAGCAGAATTGTGAGAATTACAGAGAGTCAGAAAGCAGAATATGTTCTTCAAAGTCCTGAAACAATTTGAATCAACCTAAGATTTGTGCCTGGCAAATCTTAACTCACAAGAATAGATGTGAACTAAAGACATTTTGAGAGAAGTAAAAACTTGACTACCTATCAAATCTTCACTAGAGCAATTTATGATAGATATGTGCTAGAAAGAGAAATAATGTCAGAGAGAAAATCTGAAATCTAATAAAAGTGGTAAACAAAGAAATTTAAGAACAATGGGTCAATCCAACAAACACTGAATGTATGAATATTATTTTCAGTCTCACAGGAAGTCTTTCAAAGATTTATTTAAGGACAGAATTAAAATATAAGATAACAATAGTTTGTAACTCATGGAATGAAATATGAATTTCAGTGATCTGTGTTCTTTTGTTGGTCAAGGGAGTTGAGATGAGGAAACTGAGGCATAGAAAAGTTAAGTAACTTGAACAAAGACACATAATTTGTCTTCATTCCTTCCTTTTGTCCTAATGAGTATAGACTAGAAAAAAATATGGACAAAAATTGATATGACTTTAAAAGTTAGGATTTTGTGGTTTGCCTTGGCTGGGTATAAGATAATGGAAGGATTTGATTCTTCTATCTGTCTCTCTTCAATTAGGTAATAAAATAAAAAATTATGAAATAACCCAATATCATAAAATCAGGAACCTGAAAATTGTGGTTAGGACACATACTGGAGATAACAGAGCAAATTATATAGGAGCATCATATCCTATGCCCTAGTCCCCAAGTTGTATGACTGAAATCAAGAAGAAATGACAGAATGATAAAGGAAAAGAATGTCCACATAAGACACTGCAAGGACCCATGGTAGAAATTAAAGCCCCAGGCATAGCAAGAGTCAACCTTCATTCTTGCCATCAAGTGAGTAGGACATCTCCATCATGATTATGTAGAAGAGAATTTTGCATTGTGATGTCTTTAGACTACTGTCACAACAGAGCTAAATATTTATAAAATAAGCTATATCCCGTACATGCTGAATTCAATTAAGCAAATCCCTGAAAATCTGCCAGAAGTTAGAAAAACACCCATCAAGAATCAGCTGAAATTAGATTACAATCCACTCTGGTCAGTTGGATCTGTCTGCTTTGAAACTCTGTTTCCTGGCGTTGGTGATGACAAGCGTGGGTTGGTGGAGTTTAGTAGCTGTGCTGCATTGAATGCATTTAAGGCTCTTTTCAAGAAACTATGTGGAATGATGCTGGAGAAAGTCCCTAATGTGGCAAAGAGTATCAGCAAATGGAGTCCAACGGAGTGTGAAGAGAGTCTGGGGAGGAATACAAGAGGCAGTGACAATGAGCTGAGGAGAAAACAAGCGTAAAGTAAAGAGCAGGCACATTCGATCCAGAGAGGAGTAATGAATCTGTTCTTTGCCCACAGCCAGTAAACAGCATGTCTTCTAGCTCAGTCAACCAACGTTCATTTAAACCTGCTCAAACACAAGCCATGAGTATGCAGTTGCTAATATAAAATAAATGGATTAAGTCACGTAGGAGTCCTTTGACGAAAGCATAAAAACAAGAGATTTAAATGTAATCTTCACTTTCAAGCTTGCTCCTGTGAGTCACTGACAGTGGGGACTACCATTATGTCATTCTGTTTTCCAAATTTCTCTAATTCATAGTCCTTGTGGTAAGGATGGGCTGCCTATGACACTGGGTTCTGATATCTGTACATTTGAGTTTTTCCAATAGAAAATTTGAGACAAGAGAAAACTTTATTTATGGCATGATGATTGTTTTTGTATTGTCTTTACATACATTTTCTGTTTTGGAAAAGTATTGGGGATAACCATTTTCCTGTGGGGAGACAGATTTATCAGACAGGCTGATTCCTTTCTTGTTCAACTAAAATTAAGTTGAGAGGGTTTCATGGCACAAAATAGATGGATTCACTTAATGAATTCCCTGGTGGCATTGTTTATCTTCTGCCTCTGATTGCCTAAAGTTCCTTGTGTCTCCACAGACATTTTCTCATACACTTAGGAACAAGGAATTAAGGGCTAGATTATTAAAAAGAATTGATATTTTAGAAATTTTTAAAGTTGTGTTTGTAAGTTTTGTTATTTTTAAATGCTTTGATTTTAAGTATTTCACATTAGGACAATTTGAATCACCCAGAATCACCCAATGATTTATATTTCATGAGCTTGGAGTCTCTTAAAATCACTCAAACATCAGAAAATGAAGGTGAGTATATCCAAGAGAATGCATGTTTATCTGTTCTGTTCACATGTGTGTGAATGGGTGAGTGTGCAGCACAAGGTTGGCTGGAATCTTAAAAGGTCATCCTAGCGTTCCCTCTAGCTTCTGACATGGTTATACTTGGAGTAACTTAGAATATCTCAAGACTTACAAAGAAGGTTCTTCCTCAAATTTCCTGGGAGAATCCCCTTCTTATAATGAAATTCATTTATTTGCTCCTTCCTAGAAAACAAAAAGAATATTTGATAATTACAGGCTGAGCATCCTTAATCTAAAAATCAAAATTGGACCATTTTGGAATTCGGTTATTGGGGGTTTGAGATGCCCAATTGGTAAAGACTATGTAGATTTTCCAGAATCCACAGAACTCTGGAATCTGAAACATTTTTAGTCTAGAACATTTTGGGTAAGGGATACTCTTATCTTTTGATCTATTTAAACATTAATAAATGTAAATCTGTATCTTCCTCCTATAACATTCCTAAACCCTTCGGCTTGTTTTAGGTTTTCAGTACATTTTGTAGCTTTTCCTTCTCATCTACAAAAAATTTAAAAAGTACCCCTCCTTTTCATGGTTGTTGCCAAAAGCCTTGCTTGTTAAGAGTTCAAAATATGTAGACTCAAGTACTATAAAAGCCAAGTGCTTTGCCTCTGTTACAGGTTTATATGAATTTTCATCCTAGGCGTCTCAGAGTCACTTATTGGTTTGAATTTAGTTAATCCCCGAGTTCCAAGAACCCTAATGGTCATATGAATTTTAAAATGTGTGTTTAAGAGTGAATTGCCTGTCTCTAAGTCTATCGGCTGGCATATACTAACAGTTAGCTATGAAAAAGATCATTGTTCTCATAAATTGCCTTCAGAAAATACACTGTCAAGGGCAGAAATAGAGACAAGTTCCCAGGCTTTGAACTATTGTTAAGTTTTAAAAGTATGTGGTAGAAAACTGTCCCAAAACTCATAATTTGCCATAGGAATAGTTAAGAATCATTTGAAGGAGTGCTGATAGAGTTTCATTTTTTTCAAAGAAATAGCAATTAAGAACTTGATGTTATAGGTACCTAAACTGCTTTTGTTGAAAACCATGGATTCCTTACTTGGGCCCTTGAATTAACTAAAGGCAGGAGAAAAGCGTGACATCCCTGTCTCCATTTTCATCTGTCTTTGCTCTGAGGCATTCACCTTGCAGTCATCTTGGAGCCCAGGAAGGACAGGACTGATTGGTAACATCTTTACAAGGAGAGATGGAGGAAACTGCTCCCAAGGAAGGGAATAGCAGAGCCTCCTCAGGATCTATTACCCACCAGGCAACAGTGACTTGCTTATCCTGACCAGACAGCTTCCCTCAAGGGATTACAGCAATCAGTTCTCCAGAACCCTTTGATAATTATCAATCAGGCCACACTTTGACCAGGACTGTTTAATAATTATTCATATCTTTCGTTTCTGTCCTAAACTCTTTCTATTCAACCCTAACACTCATGTCCCTATACCAAAGATGGTCTAGGCGCTTACTTTTCCCCTTCTCATGGTGCCCTTGCTGCATAATACATCTCTCTTCTGTGCCCTTCAGTACAACTCATCTTTTATTTGGGTGTTTTGGGGTGAGTGGCCAGACCTAATATGTGGACCCCTGGAGTTTGGGCCTAGGGACTAAAAATGGTTTCATTGACTTGGGCCTGCAAAGTTCTTCACAGCCTGGCCCAGCAACCTCTCTGCCATGTTCCCTGCTCTTCTTTCTTCTCTCTGCTAAGCCTCCAGCCACCAGTCCTCTGCCTCCCCCAGGCAAATATCCTCTTTCTGAAACATGCTTTGCCCAGACACCTCTCAGAATGTCATTCAGGCCACTGTTCAAATCTTACCTTCTAGAGACACCTTCTTAGACCATCTTATCTGAATAGAACTCGGTCCTCTGGCCCCTTCATCTGCATCACTTTTCTTCATATCACTTGAAGTCATGTGGGTTTTTCTTTCTGCTTTGTTTGTTTTAAGATTTTATTTTTCATATTATTTTTATTATCATATCGCTATACTGGAAGTGCATTGCAACATTTACAGAACTGCTTACAATATATCTTAATTAAATTCACCCCCTCCACCATCATTCTCCTTCATCTCCCTTTCCCCCATTCTTAGAACAGTTTAAACAGATCTCATACAGGACCACATAAAGACTTTAATTTCTCAGAGAAGCTTTAGATTCACAGCCAAAAATAAGAGGAAGGCACAGTAATTTCATATATATATGTGTGTGTGTGTGTATACATATATGTATACACACACACACACACATGAATCGTCTTCTTCTGTATTATCACTATTCCACACCAAAGTGGTACCTTTGACTTTAGTGATCCTTTAACCCTCAGATTTCAAAAGAACATCACAGATTTTGTAGAAAGGAGGAAGTCTACAGTTTATTTTTCTTGAGGTTATATACTTTTCTCTCTCAAGCCAACAGTGAGTCCCAAAGACTACCCCTAAATTCAGAAGTGCACTAAGAAGATCTGAAAAAGAATATAGGGAAAGCTGGTACATTCCTCACAGTTTATTACAGGGAAAGGGCACAGATTAAAACTAGCCCACAGAAAAGATACCTAGACAGAGTCCAGGAACATTCCACATGAAGCTACTGCTTGCCCTCTTCCCACCGAGTATGCATAGCATTACTGTCCTAGAAAATATTCTTTACTACACATACAGATAGAATAAAGGAACAATCTGTCATGACCCTTCTATTCCTTCAGATCTACAGAGGTATATATGAAAAGCTCTACTGTCACCTTCCTTAGGAACTATCAGACTACTTCTCTTCTGGTCATATTGCCACATTGGCATGCTCATGGTCTCTGTGATTTGCCAGAGGTTTTAGAATGTTTCAGTAGGGAAGTTATCACTGGCAAATGTGTAGCTCTTGATTATTGCATGGTATCATTTTCTCTATTAGATGCTTAAGATTTAGAACAAGAATTTTTATTTTGTTGCTTCTGTCTCTCACAAGAGTGGGAGCTCCATGAGAGATGGGAATTTGTTTTGATCACAAGTGCATCCCTGGAACATGACATACAATAAATATTTGTTAAGTGAATAAATCATTGAAATACTTAGTGCAAGCACCTTGGTAAATCTTCATACCAGGTTTTAGCTCCTTAAAGAGGACCTAGATTTTCTAAGATTGTCTTGAGTCTGTATCTGACTTTACCCCCAAATAGTCTAAATCAGACTAGCCCTTTGCAACCTTTTCTATATCAGAGCACATATCTGCTCTGTGACACACAGTGACTATGTGTGATAGAGACACACACAGTGTTATATAGTAGTAGAGAAATGAGAGGGGATATAGGGCTTGATGAAATTTTTATTTCCTTTATTTTATAAATTTATAATGAGAAAATCTAATTGTAAAATATTAGAGATAATATTAAAAATTGAGTGTATTCAGGAGCTCCCCAAAATATGTCCTTTCATTTTCATTGTAATTTACAACTATTAATCACAGCATACTTGTAACCTACTTGCTCCACACAATGATACATTGGTTGGGAAACAGCGTTAAAAATTCAGTGAACTTAGTTTTCTTTTGACTGGAGAGACTACACAAAGTGAAGGTTGTGCTGTATCTTTGGTGAGATAGCTAAATCTTTTAACAGACATGCCATGAAGAGCTAGACTGCCTAATAATATGGATTTTTCTACCCCTTCTGTTGTCTCTGGTAGAAGTTGTGGGCTAATAAACTCCATTCTACTAACAAAAGCTGGGTTTGCTCCATACTTTCCCATTTACTGTGACCTTGCCAAGGGTTTTTAACCTCTCTGGGTCTAAGTGATTCATTTTGTTAAGTATAAAGGCTGAGCTGATGTGTTGACCATGAATCAACAATGGAAATTTTAGGCAAAGGAGTCGGGGGTGGGCCGGGAGCTGCTTGCCACACTTAAGCAAAGGAAAATGAAATTTCTCATCTGTTAAAACAAAAGAAATAACAGTGCCAATAAGAAATCTACACAGAAAATCACAGAAACCCTTCAGCAAGCTTAATATTCCTTTCCATGGAGCAGAAAGTCTTTGGGTGTGACAAATCAAACTTTTGAAGGACCTGGACCTTGAATGCAAACTGTGCTCCAACCCAGCTGCCAGTTAACACTCATGATTCACACATTGTGAAGCTGGTGGTATAAGTTTCCCCAGTGGTGAGAGGTAGAAAAGACTTTGCATGATTTCATTTGCCCTGGAGTAAGATGACCAGCCATAAAAACATGAAAAACACCAGTAAGCAGATAGTGGTTCCAAACAATTTGTCAGGTTTTTCTGCTTTGTTTTCCAACTTCAAGTGCAGGCTGCCTTTTCTATGTTTGAGAAAGAGCAACTTCAAAAGATATCACCCTTGTCCTCCATTGTCAGTACTTTGAAATCTAAGCCACTGTCCAGTACAATTCTCAAAATGTAGACTAAACTCAGAGTTTGGCACCAGTATTCACATCTGCAACTGAAGCTGTAGACTTACTGCTTGATGGGAAATGGATCATATTTCATGCTTAAATGTTTTCTTCAAAAACAATTTTGATCAGGTTGCTGCTTTACATAAAAATGTACTTTTTCACCAAAAATGTGAGTGATTATTAGGCTGGTCACCTCCTCCAAATGTACCTTGCCTGCTGTACTGTTCCAGATATCAGTTCATGTTTAAAAAAAGAGCAAATTCTGTCCCTGCTGATATCTTCCCAAACACAACTGCTGTTTTCAAGTAAGAATGACAAAAAGCAAAACTGGGAGGAGAAAATAATATCCTTCTCCCCTTAAGTTGCTCTGGGACACAGTGGCTTTAACTTGACGTGCCAGCATTGTCACCGATATTTCATGATGACTCATTACTAGGCTTCATGCTGGGAGACACCCTAACCGCACACACGCTGCCTCCAGATGGTGCCATGTTGGGGACAGCAGGTACCAAGTTTTTGCCAAGTTCACAGGCTGAAATGCAATGTGGAGTTCCATGTTTGCATTGCGATGAGTGAAATAATAACTCTCTCTCTCTCTTTCTCTCTCTCTCTCTCAGGTGCCCTAGCTAAAATTTCACCCCTTTCATCACCCTGTTCCTCACCTCTCCAAGGCACTCCTGCCAACAGCCCGGTCAGCAAAATTTCATCAGTGCAGTTTCCAGAATCTGAAGATACAACTGCCAAACAAGGCCCGAGTTCTCACCGGCCCTTAACCTACACTCAGAGTGCTCCTGACCTGCCTCCTCAGAGCCTGCCTGTTGTATGTAGCAGGTAAGGATTGTGCATTGTTAACTGGAGTTTAATGATACATTATAATAATAGTTTTCTTCCTAGGAAAACCCATATCCATCCATACTTCTTTGTATCTGTGCCAAAGTAGTTAGCAATAAAATATAGGATAACATGACTTGTGTTGAGTAAACTCTAACAGAAACTTAATTTTCAGTTGTTCTTCATTAATAGAATGTTTATAGTCCATGCACACAGTATATTGGCACACAGCCAATCTTTGGAGATGATATAAAATAATTTGTTGTATGTGGTAGCTGCTTTAAAATTGTATCAAGTGGACTGGGTATGGTGGTGCATGCTTGTAATCTCATCCACTTGGGGGGTGGTGGCAGGACGACTGTGGTTTGAGACCTGCTCCAGGCAAAAAGCACAAGACCCTATCTGAAAATTAAACTAAAAGCAAAGAGGATTAGTGGTTTGGCTCAAGTGGTAGCGCACTTACTACTGAGTTCAAACAAAAAATAAAAACTTGTATTAGGTGATCTGATATAGTTTGATACTTTGTTGGAATGTTTAGACTTGATCACCTAGGAGTATTTTATATTGGCTTAAATGATCTTTTGCCTGAAGTTTACATTTCTCATTTTAACACTTTTAAAATGGACTGGTAACACATGGCACGTTATGCCTGGATTCACCTCATTCTCTGAGTGCAGTTGAACAATTTGTGCTCTTCTGTCACATCAAAACATAATTACAGAGTGTTATTTATCACAGAGGATAAGAAAAAAGGACCTAGCATGTCTGGAGTAATTACTTTGCCAACTTGTCATCTCCCCACACTGGTTAGCATATTTTATGGCTTTCCAGTTATGGCTTCATCCTGAATAAGTGCTCTTAAAGCATTAAATATTTTTAAGTAGAAAAGAGTTGAGTATTTAAAATATAATCATGGCTCTGTCTTGTACAAAATGCTGTTTCTTTTCTAGGGTCGATGAAGATAACTATTTGAAGAAAATAAAAACATGTTAGTTTTCTAATATCAAATATAGGCTTCTATGACAGCTTTTTATTTATTTATAGTTTATGAATAAAATGAATCTGTTTTTTTATCAATATGTTCCATTTAACAACTTGCAGTGGATATTAAGTTTTGTAAATTTCATTTTATTCATAAACTATAAATAAATAAAAAGCTGTCATAGAAGCCTATATTTGATATTAGAAAACTAACATGTTTTTATTTTCTTCAAATAGTTATCTTCATCGACCCTAGAAAAGAAACAGCATTTTGTACAATTTATTCATAAATTATGTCTCAGTTTTCTGCCTCTGTGATACAACACCTGAGAAAAGTCAACATAAAGGAGAAGGCTTCCTTTTGCTCACAGTTTCAGTCCATGGTTATTAATTTGTTCCTGTTGCTTTCGAAGCTGTGGCAAGGCAGAGCATCCTGGCGGGACGCAGGGCAAATGTCTCGTTTCATGGTGGCAAAGATGATGAGAGGATTTCCTGGAGTTCCAGCATCTCCTAACCCTCCCAATAGCCTAACTTCCTCCCAGGAGACCTCCCCTCTTAAAGACTCCACCCATCTCAGCTGCAGCGCAGGCTGGTGAACAAGTCTTGTCACAAAGGCACTTTTGGGGGACGCTCCAGATCCAAACAATAATATCCTGCAAATTAAATGAATGCCACTTATTTTATAAACTTCACTTTTATTTCCTTTCTCTTTAAAAATATTTTTAAATAGAAAATCAATTTTGTTTGTTTGTCTGTTTAGCCAGGCCTAGAGTGAAAAAAATTTTTTTTTACTATCTAGATGTTGTTCTACTGCCCTCTCTATGACAGCTTTTTATTTAATTTATTTATTTTTTATTTTTATTTTATTTTATGTTTTTGTGGTACCAGAGGTTGAATCCAGGGCCTTTCCCGTGCCAGGCAAGTGGTCTGTCACTTGAGCTACACCACTGCATATTGTGTAATAAAAGGTCTAGGAAACGTGTCATGTTTCCTTCTGAGAGATCCATATCACACATCACTTCATCAACAGTTCGCAGAAGTCTGGGAAGTTCTGCTAAAAGAACACCTCTTGATTTTCTCTTCACCTAGTGTTTTCTGAATTTGACCACAGAGCCAGTTTCTTTAGGTCCACACTCTCTGATTGCATATGGACCTGAGGTTAGGCAGAACAAGATGGAGAAACCTTATTTTGTGGAGTATACCTGGGCCAAGATGAAGCCCACATTTAGGACATCTGCCTCCAGCCTTCCCAAGAGCTCTCCCACTCTAGACTCCAGACTACTTTAGCTGCCTAAAGAAAGGAGAGGCATGTCCAGTAAAGGTCTACCACTCCCATGGCTCTTCTCATCATGGCCTCTTGTGTGTGTGTGTGTGTGTGTGTTCTTAGCAGGAAGAATGTACTGGGATTTTTATAAAAGAGATTTCAGAGAAAAACAAGAGCATTTGAGTGTCTGCTTGTTCAGTGATGTTTATAAATCCAGTAGTGTGTGTTTTATTTGTTTGGGCTTCATAAATCCATAATTCAAACCAGGTTTTATTATTCCCTTCAAGGCAGCCACCCATGTAGGCACAGAGAGCGCCAAAAACACACGACTAATTATTGCGGTTTCCCTGCTGAACTCGAAGGGCTTGGCATGGAGTCCCAGACTCTTGGCTGTTGTAATGTATTTGCAGCAGCCTATTTTTTTGGCGAAGCAGTTGTTATATTTGAGCCCCTAATTTAAATAGTCCTTTTAGGTATTATCTTGCAATGAAAAATCTCCAAACTAATAAAGTCTCCTTCTACCAACTTTCATCTGGGAGTATAAGCCCAATTGTTAACATGGGCTTTCTTTTTTTCTTTTGCTTTTTTTTATCCTTTTGATTCCCTAGGGCAAAATGATAGAATGTCATCATTAGAAATAATTTGCGTGTGAAACTTTTCTATTTACATGTGAGGGTCAAAAACTAAACTTACTTGTATGAAGATATTGTCTAGTTGGAAAATGGTTTTTTCAACTGCACACACAGCAAAATTAAGAAAAAAAATGAAGTACTGAAGATATTAAACAATAAACCATTAATCACTTCTTTTTATTTTATAGTGGATAATCTGTAGTTAAATAATAAACAGACAAAAAATTCCTCTGAGACCCTTTATAAAATTAGGCAGAAGAAAAGAGCCCAGCAGTCAAATGCAGAATTAAAATCTAACCACGAAGTGTCTAAACAAGAGGAAAGAGAGAGAGGAGACAGTTTGAAACTTGACCAGGCTGTTGTGGGTTACTCTTTAATTTATAAAATAGTCAAGCTATTGAGAAAAAAAAAATTCTACATTCTGCAGTCATCTCTGCTAAGGTATGACTGCTCATTGCCCAGGTGTCATCAGTTTCCTTGGTTGCCCACAGAGCCTCAATGGCCCACTTTTTCTCAGTCGGCATTGCATCCAGTCAATTGTACATCGACCCTTCACCAAATGTCCCTCTCCTTTGGTCCTTTCCTTAGGGCTTCCCCACGTGACTGATCAATCTAAAAAATAACTCATTTTTATCTTTGGCAAAAGCTACAACTAATATATGATCATTTTGTCTTAGCCTAGTTTGTCTTTTCTTAAAGATCTGCTTGGACATAAAATGTCTTAGCTCAAAAGAAATAAATCTAATGATAAGGTATTCTCCAAAAAATGTAACACAATTTTCCCAACACTTTCACCTCAAATAAGGTATAAACTATGGAGGAAGAGAATGCGAGTCAAACGTAATTTCTAAAACCTTCTATTGACCATTCTCTCATTAAAAAAGAAGGAAAGTATCTCTCAGCATCCATGTGTAAAACAAAATGAATTTTTCCCATGAGACAAATAAGCAGAAGGCAAAAATATTTTATTATACTTGTTCATATGGTTTGAATATTAAATGCTCCCCCTAAGCTTAGGTGCTGAAGACTTGCTCCTCAGTGCAGCCCTCTGAGGTGGGCCTATTGGGAAGTGATCAGATCTTGAAAGCTCTGACCTAGATAATGTATTAATCCACTGGTGGATTCATAATTTGATGGCATTATTGGGAGGGTCCTGGTTGAAGGAACTGGGGATGTGCTCTTGGAGGATATACCTTACCCTGGTCCCTTCCCCATCCTTTCTGATTCCCATCCACCATGATGTAAGCAATCTCCTCTGCCCCACACTCCCACTGCCATGAAACCTTGCTCAGGCCCAAAGCAATGTAGTCAGCTGACGGTTAACTGAAACTTCTGAATCTGTGAACAAAATAAATCTTTCCACCTCAAGTTGTTTATCTCAGGTGTTTGTGTCACAGAGATGAAAAGACTAATCCACACAGAAAATTGTCTATCTTAATGTATACAAAGATGGAACATGCCTTTGAGTATTTGAAAAGAAAAGCGTGTGCTCATGGCTGTTCTGTTATTTCTCAGCTGTGGCAGACCGTACTCCCAAGGGAATCCTGCTGACGGGCCCCTGGAGAGAAGTGGTACAGCTACTCGAGCACCAAGCAGAACAGGTAATTCATATTTTGGATTCTGTCTCTCAAAATAGAAACTATTTTCCTTCATCTTTTTCCTAAGAAGGTAATCCAATCCATATTCCTGATTTTCTTAAATCTGTAAATTTAGAAGTACTATGTATTCATGTACAAAAATGGAACACTGAGACCTGTTAAAAACTATTCAATAAAAGGGGTGAAGGGGGACAGAGGAGAAAGATGGAGGGGGTGAATGTAACTAAGATATATTGTAAGCACTTTTGTAAAGTACCCCCCAGTACAACAATGATGATGCCAAGGAAGGAAGGAAGGAAGGAAGGAAAGAAGGAAAGAAGGAAGGGAGGGAGGAAGGGAGAGAAGGAAGGCAAAGAAAGAAGGGAGAGAAGGAAAGGAGAGAGAGAAGGAAGGAAGGATGGGAGAGAGAGGAAGGGAGGGAAGAAGGGAGGAAGGAAGGAGAGAGGGACAGAGGAAAGCAGAGAGGGAAGGAAGAATGAAGGGACAAATTTAAAATTAGCCGTAACTCTACTGTGAGGACTTAATCATGGTAATGTTTTGGTGCAGCGGTGTTCAACATGTATGCAGGTATATTTTTTTAAAAATGAGGGACCATTTTATATAATCACCAACTGCATAAAATGCTATTTCATCATGCTGCTTTGTACATCAGAGGGTCGTCCACTTCAGTGTACTCTCTAGAGATCAACATTGCAGACCCTAGAATGACTCTGCTTATATCACCATAAACTTAGCATAGTCTAGGTGGAGAAGCAGTGATGTGGAGAAGTTAAGGTCACGAGTGTTGCATCCTGATTGACACTCTGATTCTGCTACCTGTTTGCCTGTAATCTGAACCTCTGTGTCTTTGTTCTTTCACTTATAAATGCTAGAATAATAGTAGTAGCTACCATGGAAGATTATTCCAAGGATTAAGTTCTTAGAGCATGTAAAGCATTTGCTACTGTATTGTCTGAGTCACTATAAGTAGGTACCTTTTGCTATTACTATACTGTTTGTGTTGATACAGCCCCAGAGACTTGCTTCTGTTATGCTGAAAGTAAGTACACAATGCAGTAAAGAAAGAATCTGGCCTCTGTAGATTTTAGGGTGATAGAGCTACCTAATAATAACTATCTGCTTTAGCATTTCTTGGAAGACTTCCAATAAATATTGACCGAGATAGCTTTTGTGTGAGAATATTGTGTCATGGCAATATACAAAGGGCAAGGAATATGACAAGGAAAGGTCAAAGGAGAATTCCCTGTGCCATCATCTGTCAGTGCAGCCTTCTAAAGCCTTGGCATGTCACCCTCTGGTTTCTTGATCTTCGCTCATTTCATTGGGGCTGATAGCATAAGGGGAATATTTCACTGCTGTGGTCTCAGGTAGCACTAAGTGACCCTTGAGTGTGGCTTCTTCATTTTACCTGTGGATTCCAGAATCCACAGGATTCCAGTTTCTAAAGAAAACGATACTTCAAAAGTAAAAAGAATAGGAACTACAGTCAAACTTCCTGATTTCAAATTCTAGTGGCAGCACTTACTGGCTATGTGTCTTTGGGCAATTTACCAATCCTTCCTATGCCTCCATTTGCATCTGCAAAGTAAAGATGGTAATTAATATAAGTAGCACCTGCTTCTTAGGACTACTGAGAGCATTAAACTGTTAGTATAAATAGCAGGATCCAATAGCTCATCCTGGGCTGGCTTTGCACGGCAGTCCTCCTGATCGCTGCCTCCTGAGTAGCTAGGATTACAGGCGTGAGCCACTGGCACCCAGCTCTGAGACTCTTCTTATTCTTTAGACTTAGCTTTTTCTTTTTGATAGTTTGTTGTTGAGTTAGCACAATTTACTTCTGGCCAGAATGGGAGACAGTGAAGGGGGCAGATGAGGAAGGACATCATAGACTGCTAAGGAAGTAGTTAGATACATAGGTCTGCCCCATACTCTTAGGCATACCTGTCACATACTGTTCTGTGGATCACTTCTTTGTGTCAACTTAATTTCTCCTACCACGTGTGGCCATTCTAGAATTAGTGTGTTAGTCAGCTCAGTAGTAGCTAAATGTACTGGGAGAATAACAGAGGAAACAGAAGTAGAAAGTCATAGGATTTTTAAAAATTAAAAGCTACCGATCTAAAAAGTCTTATTGAGGGATTACTGATTGCCACATAAGTCATGCATCGTGATTCACATCTGTTTATCGGGTTTAGAAATGTATGCTTTCCTCACCCTGTAATCCTACAAACCTGGTGTGTAAGCACATGAAAGCAATATTTCTCTAAACACTAGGGTGATAAGTTTCAGGAGAATTTGGTGTTTGAGACTTCCCCCTAGTGCAGGTCTCATGATAGGCTGTTCTCTGATTGTAGATGACACCGCCCAAGTTACGTCTGATTATGAAACCAATAACAACAGTGACAGCAGTGACATTGTGCAGAACGAAGATGAGGTGGAGTGCCCAAGAGAGCCACTGAGGAAAGTGTCAACCTGTGGCACCTATGGTCCTGAGGATGTGATGTTCCTGGTAGGTCGTCCCATATCTCCTCACTCACTCACTGACTTGAGGAACTGGCTTCTGTTATGGAGACTGGCGTGGAAATAGATTCTCAGATCTGTAGCTATATAGATAGAGCCACTTGGATCCCACATTTGTTGCCGCCCTACCTATGCATTATTATGATTTTTTTCTCTATCCAAAACTTACTAACCCCCCACGGTCCTATTATTTGCTGATGAAAATTATAAGTATTTATCTTTATAAATGATTACACATATTTCTTAACCAATCAAGAAGTAAATATGCATATGAAAAATGAACTTTGTCATTATGTTAAATAATATTTACTAAAGAAAGAAGAGGAAACTTTCTAAAGCATCTCTTGTTTTGTCTTTGTCATTCCTAGATTTAGAAAGGGAGTCAGTATTGATTTTCTAACTTAGGCAAGGTTATAGCAATACTTGCTAAATACTAAAATACCTGTTAAAGGTGACTTATTTTGAGCATGAAAGGATCCACATAAAGAGCTTGTGCACATTCAAGTCAGGTTAATTTGATTAGCAAATGGCAGAAAATAGTTGACTGTCATGGGATGATCAATTGCTACTGGTATTATTTTTACTGTATTTTGTCAGTTGTACTTTTACATCAAAAATTTTCAGATAAAATAATTTCTATCCTTATCTTCATTATCTTTCTTTAAAGTGTTTTTTTGTGGAATGGGGTAAATGTACAGTTAAGATTCTCCTGATTTGGGACCATTTTTAACATGTGTGTCAATAAATAGTAGGTTACATGAATTAAATGAAATTCCTGAAAAATGTGACAGCTGTTGTCTACAGGATTAATGCTGATTAATGTTAATATATAAATTCAGTCAGTCAAAGTAGGGGTGACTGTTTCTCTAATGCTCCTGAATTCCAATAGAAACCAAGGACCCGATTCCAGAGAAGTTTACATAAATGTGAAAGAATGAGTTTGCATATAACTTCACAACATTCTGAAGTCCTTCCTTGAGTCTTTATCAAAGAACCTGGCAATAGACCCAAAGAAGTTATATTAATGTCTGGAAGAGAACCCATGTTCTGCTGGAGTGTGAACCAGGAACAGATAGCATCTAACCACACAAAGTCTGAAGCTACATTAGCTCCTAAAGCTACTGTCTTGTTCATCTTGATATTTTTTTTAAGAGTCACCCTGGAGTTTTAAGTCATTTATTTCAGATAGTCACAGTTGTTAATTGGATTTACCAAAGCATGAATTGTTTTGTAGAAAACCCACCTGTCCTTAAAATATTTTGATCTCCATTGCAGGACAAGCCAATTCTTGCCCCTGACCCTCTTGTCATGGACAACCTGGACTCAATTATGGAGCAGCTAAATACGTGGAATTTTCCAATTTTTGACTTAGTGGAAAATATAGGAAGAAAATGTGGTCGTATTCTTAGCCAGGTAAGGAATGCATTCACTCCTTACATTTGACCATACACATAACCTCAAAAGTGGGCAAAGTAGTCCTCAGTTGCTGAAAGCTCTCTGTGTTTGTGGCACCTCTGGATAGATATTGCTCAGAAAAAAAAAAATCTTAGCATGTGACCTTCTATAGATTCAAAGGCAGTGGGTTAACAAGAGAAAATAAGACAAAAGTATTCTGTAACTAAAGTATTTCATAATTTTTAAGACAAAATTTGGGAAGGGCAGGGGTACAAAAGTCTGATGGACAAATGAGCCAAAATTCATAGAATCAAGCAAAAGAAAAACTGTCACAAATCCCAAAAGGAAACTGCCTACACATAAATTTTGAATTACTCTGTGTAATTATTCCAGTAACTATTGTTTCAACTTCTTAATCTAACAATGCTTACACCTCATGAAAAATAAGATTTTGTGCAAAAATAAGTTTCTCCCTCAGTGCTGTGAGGAACATATCAAATATAGTTCTGTGTGTTTGAAAATGAAAGCCACTTTTATTTATCACAAGAAATATAGAATGAGTACCATTGCTACATAGCAGACCTGTCAGTATTGTTTTCTTTAAGCTAGACTACTTTCAAGGTGTCCCAAATAAAGAAATGCTTGTTTGAGGGAGAAAGAAAACATAAGGAAATTAAGAATTTTAACATGTCTGTTTCATAAAAATGAAATAAAACAAAATGATGTGATTTTCTGTATTACTGAATACATAAAAAATATACACAATTAAAGGCATTGCTGTAATATTTTATCAGCTTATTTTAAAATATAGATGTGGGTAAATATTGCAGCAGAGAGACCGAAGACTGCCAAACTTGGTAATGTAAGACTTAAGTGAAATCAGTACCCAACCTGGATTTATTAGGCCATTAACACTTTTTTGCTAAACTCTAGAAATCACTGAAATTACTTATTTCCACTTCTTACGTCAGACACCAGTTTTCTCAGACTTCTCAATAAGTATCTAAGTGTGGAACTTCTGAGTGCAAATCCCAATCCATGAAGGTTTGAAGGGAGAGGACAGAGGGCCTTTCCTGTAGTGTTCAATAGCACAGACTAGTCTGATCTTCAAGAAGAGAAAAACATCCTTGCCCTATAGAAATTTTCAGTCTTGAAGGAGATTGGTACTGTGGAAATTACAGCAGATCAATGGGGTACATGCAAAGTGGTTGATCAAGTGGGCACCAGTGGCTCACACCTGCAATCCTAGCTATTCAGGAGGCAGAAATTGGGAAGATCACGGTTCAAAGCCTACCCAGCCAAATAGTTCAAGAAATCCTATATCAAAAATACCCAAAACAAAAAGGCTGGTGGTGTTCAAGAAGTAGGTAGCTGCCTAGCAAGCATGAGGCCCTGAGTTCAAGACCCAGTACTAAAAAAAAAAAGGTAGATCAAGGAGGTATGCTAAAATTATTGATGGATTATGCAGCACAAAATAGTCTATATGCCATCATTGCCTCTGGTAGACTATTTTGACCGTGAACATGCAACCCTTCACTTTTATATGCACTTGAAAGTCCCATTCATCAACTCTTCCTTTCTCCTCAGTTCTAGGCAATGTCTTTTATGCGCTCTGATATTCAGGACAGGTTCAAGGGCAGCCACTTTATCCAGTCTACCTTAGCCTTCTAACTTAGGTCTCTTCCTGGAAGGTTGTGAATCCCTTTCTCTGAAACCCATTGCAGACTATGACTCTGAGGAAACAGATCATCCTTGAAAATAAGCCTCTCCTGTTGCCACATGTGACTTAGGACCTCATCTTTCTCTTCCTTTGCTGGAGAGTGCGTTCTCTGTTGTGGAGAGAAAACACATCATTTTATGTGCTATCTGAGTTACAGACTCCCCCAGACGTTTTCATTTTCATAGTAACTTTGCTGCAGATATTTTCTTTAAATCTCTGTTTTACAGAATAAGAAACTTAGCCTTGGAAGAAAATACACTTTAAGAAAGTGCGTTTTTCTTTTAAAGTCATAGAGTCAATTTCAGACCTAGAATTCAAATATAGGTTTCGTCTCAGAAACCTAAGCTTCATGTAATCAACTGCTTCTCAGGAACCTATAAAACAAGTTTACTTTTTTCTATCTTCAAACTTTCAAATGCGAAGTGTGACCAAATGGAAAAGTGGTCATTGTAACAGTCACTTTTACAGTATGAGTGACATGTGCCAAATACCATGGCAGGTATCTGATTCACGTGGAAACTCTCAGAACAGAGGACACGAAAGGTTCAAATGTGGACAGCATTGCCCAAAGTGTTTTCTGTTTTTGTGGTCCTGATGACTGAACCCAGGACTTTAAGCATGTGCTCTTCTATCACCTGTGTCTCCAGCTTCACAAAACGTTTTCTACAAGTCAGAGATACCAGTGTACATTAGAGAGATTAGGGTCAATTTTTCAGAAAAATTATTTTCTGAAATAATTCTATCTCCATGTATGAGTAACACATTACTGCAAGATCCTTGTCAGTCATCATTTTCAAAACATTGAACTTGGAGGACATGTAGCTTCATTTGCCTTTCTAAGCAGAATGTTGGTTTTTTCCCTTTGATTTGAGTTTACAAGGGCCAAAAATCATGAAATTTTGATGATGGAAAAGGGTTTTTTTCCTCCCTTTAGTGAGATGTTAGGACAGCTGAAATGAATTACCATGGACATTCCAAGAAATCACCTTTTGGCTGGGACTATTGGAGAAAAAGTCTCACTTCAAAAGATTTTTAAAGAGATTGTATGTGTGATGCAAACCACCTTTCAACCTTCATGTACTGCTTGCCTTTGATGATTATCAACTTGCTTTAACAAATTTAAAAGGACAGCTTTCAGATTTTGAAATAGTGTTGACTCTTTTCAGTGAACAGTGTTTACCCAGTTACTAATCGTCCTTTTTTATGAGTTTGAAATTACCAAATGTAAAATTATGATGGGAGGTTGAACTCACCAGCTACTTGATGAAAATGCTTCTTTTAAAATCAAACTCTAAAATATCCTGTTGTCTTAATTCTTCAGTTCATCTTTGAAATGCTTTAAGAGAATCATAGCTATTTGCAGTCCTGATAGTGTTGGTTTCCAAATTGTGGTAGTGAGATATATTTGAAGCTGTTAGGAGCATAAGATCTGAAACCAAAATTTGTGGTTTGAATTCTGGGTCTGGTAGCTATCATCTGGATGGTCTTAGACAACTCACTCAACCTCTCTGTGCCTTACTTTCCTCTGCGTTCAGATATTATTTTCAGATATCTCATAAGGTGTTGTGAGAATTAATGATACATAAGTAATTATTAGACCAACAATGTTTAGAGCAAGCATCTCATTTAATGCTGTGTGTGCAGCATCTTCAATTACTGTTGTTGTTTTTATTATTATAGTAGTAGCATGCATAGTTAAAGCCTTTAGGTACTTATAAGCAAGAACTCAAATATTGTCTAAAGCAATGGTAGATAAGTGAAAGAAACAATAGCTCTTGAAATATGATACAATACAAACCACAAACTTCCTGATACATTTTGAAAAAGAGAAAAGGAAAAAAGTTAAATATACTTGTCTTTCCAAGTGAAGAAAAATAAATAGAAGTTGAGGCAAAGATATTATACCATCCATTTTTCAACCTTCAACCAGGATGCTCCCTTTTAAAATTCAGACAATGAAGTGATTTCCTTCCTCCAGTCTCTTCCCTGACTATGAGTATCATGGTTCTGGCTCTCAAACTCCAAGTCTGCCTCCACCCCAGTGTAGGGCTTTCCTTCTTTTACTTTTGACTCATTCAGTTTGTTTAACCCACATCACCCTTTCCGTTTCTGCCCTCCACAGCTGGGTAATAAACTTTGTAAAGAAAATAATTTTTATTTTGGGGTGTTTGTGTGTGTGTGTGTGTGTGTGTGTGTAGGGATATAGGCTCATTGTATAGAAAATTGTCTGGCACATTATACACATTAAATAAATACATGTTGAATGAATAAATCCTTATTGCAGTTATTGGTGTGTATAGATGATATATGTATTTATGCATGAGTATGATGCATGTGACTGAAATACTGTACATATACTAAAAAGAATATTAGTGAATTTTAATTGATTTGAATTCAATAAAAGATAAACATTTAATTACAAAGAAATATATTGAGAATTTAGAAGAGATGCTTCTTCTAAATTTTAAGAAGGTATTCAGGCAATAAAAAGGCTGAATTATTTCTTTCTTAAAGTCTCTTGAATTATACCCAGCACGTGCCTTTGAGACATGAAGTAGACACGTTTCAGGTAGCTCCAACCTCCACTCTACCTATAAATAATCATCTCTCCCCATTGCCTTCTTCTGTTCCTTTGTTATGTTTTTATTTTTCATCACTTGCATGTCAAATATTCCAATTATTTTCAAAGTAATCTGCTTGATTCGAATCATCAGAACTATGGAGATATTTGGAGGAAAAAAAGAAGAGAAGCAAAGGAAAATAGATCTGTTAGCTATACTGGGTTATAATAAATCTTTTTCCTCTATTATTATAGTCAAAAGAGCTCTTTTTTCTCTCTCCTAGAATTCCTTTCTTTCCCCTATCCTTTACTAATGTACAACTTTGAATCTTTTTATGTAGAAAATCTGCTTTTTTATTAAATAGAATTCATCCAAGTTAAAGGCTTTTCCCATCTTTTATTTAGTGCTTATTGTGTGTCCTAGACAACTAACTATTTTGTATGCATAATTTTCTAGTTACCAGTATCCATTCAACTTGATGTTTTGTTACATTGCTATTGTGTTTACTGTTCTGAATGGTTTCTTGGGTGTATGGAGAGTCTTTATTCTTGAATATAGATTATATATCCCTTGAGGTAAGAAACTTCAAAAGCTCAGCACATAGAAGTCCTTAATATGTATTTAATTTATCGTTCCCAGAAAATGTCTCTATGGGCCGTGAGTTAATAGGGTTTATGGAACGCACACATTTCCCCCATTGTTCTCTTTATGCCTAACACACTGAGGGATGTCTTGTAAGATTTGTCTTTGTCTTTTACAGGTATCATACAGACTTTTTGAAGACCTGGGCCTGTTTGAAGCTTTTAAAATCCCAGTTAGAGAATTTATGAATTATTTTCATGCTTTGGAGATTGGATACAGGGATATTCCTTGTGAGTATGAGTGATTTGTCAAATATTACTTCTAGCACCATCAAGTCTGCTGTGGGTGAGAGACTGCACATGCAGAAACTCACTGTGACCACATCAAGAGCCATTGGGAGAGATGGCCTAGTGTGAGGCCCTGGGTTCTAATTAAATTCCACGTCTCGTTTCTTGTTTGTTTGTTTGTTTGCGTGGGACTGAGGTTTGAACTCAGGGCTTTTTGCTTGCTAGACGGGTACTCTACAACTTGAGCTATGCCTCTAGCCTTTCTGCTCTGGTTATTTTGGAGATAGGGTCTCACTTTTTCCACTGGCCTGAAACTGTGATCCTTCTGATCACAGCTGCCTGTGTAGCTTGGCGTGGCAGGTGCACACCACCCCACTCAGCTATTGATTGAGATTGGATCTCACTACCTCTCTACCTGCATGGGCCTCAAACCAACATCCTCCATATCTCAGGCTCCCAAGTAGCTAGGAGTACAGGTGTAGCCACCCATCCTGGCACATTTCATCATCCAGAAGATGGAGATTGTAATATCTGCTTCATGGGCTTGTTAGGATCAAATGATGTCATTAAAGAGGTTATCATACTGCTGTGTGCATAGTAAGTATAATTTAGTTATTTAATAAATAATTCAATGTTAAATTTAAGCTTGTTGTTCATTTAATAATCAGCCTCTTTTATTGGTGAATTAAACCTTTACTTTGGCATCTGAAAGTTAAATTATTAAATATTGATGTTTTCTCAACTTAAGATTAATGTGGTTGATGTTTAGAAGGCCTAATTAATAAAATATTAGAGAAGTAACATTTGGAAAAGTGTTTAGAAGCATTTTAAAAGTCGGGCAAATATGAAAACCCAAAAAGAGGGCATAGCCTTTTAATTGAAGCTTTGAGTATCAAGAGAAGGTTTGTCATTTACAATAATGACATTAGAACACAGAAGAAACTTTTAATATGTAGCATTTCAGGTGTGTCATTAGTCATAACACATAAGTAGAATTGTCCTACTACAGAAAATGGTCATAGGTCCAACAGCAGACATCATAGAAATGTATAGAAGTCATGTACTACTTCAAGGGAATTAATACATAGAAAAATAGCCAAGCATATAGGTTGGAGCATATCTTATAAATATGTTATTTAAATCACATTTTAACTTTTGAGTTTTAAATTTGCTTTTATGTACCTTGGACATAAAAATTCAATGTCTTTGTTTTCGAGACTTGAAGTTAAATTTAAAAATACACACATACAGAAACAGATAAGGGCAGGTACTTACAGAAATGGATGTCACATTAACTTAGTGATCCAGTATTAATGTGTTATTTTTTAAAGTGTTATCCACATGGACACTGGAGTGAAAAAGAACAGCAGATAATGACCGGAAAGGAGAATAAAGAATTGAATCTGCAAATGAGATTTGCTAGAGAAAATGGTACAAATACATGGAAAATAGGGCAGTTGGAGCAGGGGGAAGTAGAGCTTAACAGTTCTGGGCCACTTGGGAAAGTCTGGATGCCAAGGCCCTGGACATTGGAAGTGAGAGATGAAAAAGGGGTTGTTTGAAAGGATCTCAAGGATAAGCCCTGCTTTCTTAATGTAATTTTCCCAAGGCTCACTCTGGTTGGATGCCAGTGATTGATATAAGTATTAGTGATTTCTCAAAGGCTAAAGAGTTATATAAATAAACTTTGGTAGAAAGGAAGCCACTGAAAACACTAAAGAACAGCTAGTTGCCAGACTGAATTTCCATTTATGTCTTTCAGGAAAGCTTTCACTTGCTTGGTGATCACTTCTAAATAACAATACCTCATTTGTGGCTGGGGTTGTATGTTAGGATAATATGGTCATGCCATAAAAGTATTGCTATCATTGAGCATATATTAAAAACTTGCTGCATATCTAATTATGTTAACTTACTCCTAAAGAACTATATTCTAATGGCTGTATTTTTAACAAATCCACAATTGATTAGAAAAAACAAGGAACCAAAGTGAAAACTGAGTTGGATTAACTTTAATATGACAGTGGACTAATACATTAGAAACTAGATTTGTATCATAGTACACCTTTAACATAGTACACCTTTAGCAATTTTGAAGAGGTAAGGGAAAGTGTAAAAGCTTTTAAATTGCTGATTGGAATTTTGACTAAAAATTAAATTGTCTGGATTTAGACATAGGAAAAAAGGAGGTAAAGAAGGAGAGAGAAATTCTGTGAAATAGCAGTGGATAAGATGGTAAATTTAGCCAGCTGTATTTGTCAAAACAACATATTTGTTCTGTTAGAATTAGGATACATTATGGTTTGGCTGATAACCAGTTGTACAGGGAAATAAGTTAGGTTTGACAGTGTTTACAGTTCCTTTTGGTTGGGCATTTGGACTACTGTAGAAAAGATTCATCAAGTCATATCCCTTCGTGGTTCCAAAATTATTTTTGAGGTTGCCTTTCTTAATTTCAAAGACTTTAGTCTTTAAAGTCAGTTCTTCTGTTATGGAGTCTCCCCTTCTTATTGTTCAAGTTTGACAAATGAGGAGGCTGCCTCAGAAGTATCTGTGGTCATGGGACTATTTAATGTCAGTGTGGGTGGTCCCTTAAGCTGTACATTCCATGCCCACTGAACACAGAAATAGATACTGAGGTGACATCAGACAAGTCAAAGGGAAGAGCTGTTATGGTATCTTAAAGTAATTTAAACATGTTTAGAGTGTTGAATCTATTTGCTACTACTTTTCTTCAGCCTGTAGTACATAGGAGCATAAGCAGAATTTAAACTAGAAAGTCTGTAAGTTTGGGTGTAGGAATCTGTGATTTTGTTCCATATCTTCAGCCTCCCTTACCTTCACTTCATTTCTGCTTGAGGATAAGGAGGAAGTTCAGAAACCAAGTCAGTTAAGGCAAAAGAGGGCAATGGCCAGTTCTGGGTGGGAGACAGGTGTGTCGTATGTTGGTGTGTACATGTGTGCTGGTGTGTGGAGAGAGGGAGAGAGACTTGGTTAAAGAATGATCAGAAGATTCAGAATTGGTCCACAATGTGAAGGGGACAGGAGGAGAGGATGATAATGAATGAGATAAGAGCAGCCCTGATGTCATTTCTTACCACTTTCACTTGCCTCCTATGGCCAGAATAAGAAAAGGAATCTTTAAGCTTATTTCCATATCATATGAAACCTGATGTTGACCTGGACAGTTTCTTTCCTGCATACCTGTGCTCCTGAGTCAGGTCACAACATAATTAGTACCAAGGGCAACAAGCATTTGATGGAATCCTTGCACATAGTACGTGCTAAGTGATTTGTCTAATACACACGTTACTGACTACTGACAATGTAGATGGTTTTCCATTCTGCCTAGGGACTGATAACACTTTAATTCTTTTCTATGCCTAACTAGACATTTAAATAACCAGGTAGATCTGGTATTTGGTAGTTTTGAACCTGACTCAAAAACTAAAAGGATACCGTGTCTGGTTTTTTAAATAAGTTAGTTTCATAAAATGAGTTTGGAAGCTTTCCTTCTTTTTATATTTCCAGCACTAAATTATTGAGAGAGGATTGTTTGTCCATGGAAAGGTTGTAAAAGTTACCTATAATGCCTTCTAGGTCTGTGTCTTGGGGTAGGGGACTGCACAGCTCTGCAGGCCCTGCCAGCACCCTAACACTGCCCCCTGGCAATGCCTGGCTTGTGAAGACTTGGGGTTTTCTGTCTGGCATCAGTAATGGTAGGAGCTTGCGTGCAATTGTCTTCCCAGATTGCAACAGGGGGAAAGAGCTTCAGTGCCACCTTCTACCCACAATGCTGTTTTCTTCCTTTATTGGATATCACTACCTTCTGTCTCCCCAAGGACTTAAAAGAGCTTTTATTTGAGCTGTTCAATCCTATTCAAACAAATCCACCATTCATTTTGGAGGAAAACAGTGGTCTATGCTTATTGTGCCATCTTGTTCTACAGCAACACTTATTTTATGCTAATAATATTTAATTATTATAATTAATAATATAGATGAATATAAACATAACAATATTATATTTAATAATTAAACTCAATATGTTTGAAATATATTCCCTTTCATAATTTTCATAATCATACTATGAAACTGACATCATTATTATCTCCATATTTTTAAGATAAGTTAATGAGAGTTTTTTGGAAGTGGCACTGGGATTTGAACTCAGGACCTCATGCTTTCTAGGCACGCATTCCATCACTTGAGCCACACCTCCAGTCCTTTTTTTTGCTTTAGGTTTCTTTTCAGAGAGGGTTTTGCATTTTTGGCTGGGCCCAGCTTTGGAATGTGTTCTTCCTACCGTCACCTCCCACATAACTGGGATCATAGGTGTGCACCACCACACCTGGCTTATTAATTGAGAATGGGGTCTTGCTAACTTTTTGCCAAGGCTGGCTTTGAACCACCGTTCCCCCAGTCTCTACCTCCTGGGAAATGAGACTTTTTAATCTCTCTTATTTTCAAGATAAGAAACTGAGTTTTAAATATCTCACTCAGCATAACATGGGTAACAAATGGGAGAGCAGAGACAAAAAGAAATCTGTCTTAAATCCAGAAAAATCTAGCATGATCAGCTTTGTATAGGGCCTGGGTACAGACATAAAATACAATTATCATTACCTGGTCTGTAAGTTGTCTGGAAAAACAAGGGACTTGTGTCCCATGAGATGGTAATTGTCAGGCATATAGACTCTAATCTTAATAAATTTGCTCTCTGATGACTGTACAACACAAGTATTCAGCTCCAGCAGTGACACAGGGACACAGTGTTTTATTTCCTGTGTGGGAGCCTGGGATGTCTCCTTCTCAATGCTTTTCTGAAGGAGTCTCTTCAAGCCCAAGCCTGTTGACTTAATTCCCAGGGTGTTTACCCAGGATTTAACTATCAGTCAGCACTAAAAGTCAGACTCCTAAGAATTGCCAGAAATGTAGGAAAATAGGCTTTCCCTATAGACCACCTGGATGCCTCCAGCATCACATAGAAATATAACCTATTGGAGAAGGAAAAGGAGTTATTGTTGATTAGAGGAAATAAAGTGTGTAAACTTACTGCATTTATGATAAATCACACCAGTCAATGAAGCATTATCGGGGGGCAGGTAAGAAGAAAACTGGGAAGACTTTCTCTAGAAAAAGAAGATGAGCCAAGAGCATCCTGGATGCTTGGTTCTGGTTTGAGATAAGCTGAACTGCACATAGAGATCAAGGCACCCAACCCCTGACAATAATACTGTGACATGGGGTCACCATGACTTTTACTCTTCCAAACTGTTCAACCCCCTATGGTATTGTGCAAAGACATTCTTCTTTCTTCCTTAGGGTTTCCTAGAAAGATATTCCCAAATTAGAATTTCTTGACCAGGGAACATCATTGATTGTGGCTTTAATTTTGCTTTATGCTTTTAACCTACATATAAAAGCTGTGCTGTTCATTTTCTGGCCATGTTTAAAGACTGATACAGAAGACTGGTACTGTGTTCTAGTCACAGATTACATTTGCGTTCCATTAGTCAGACCATTGGTTTTAGAGTAAAGCTGCTCTTTTCTTTTGGTCCCTCCCATAGTCTTTCTCATATAGGAGCATGGAAATAACACATAAGTAAACACTCCATTTACTTCACAGAGTGGGTTTCCTATGGTGTATGTTTCTGGTAGAGTCTAGACACAGATTTTTCTACTTCACACAGCCGCATGCATGATGAATGCTGTGACGGCTGGTTTTTGTTACTGAGGTTCTCATGGAGTTGATGGAAGTGTAATCAAAGAGTACCTGTCCTACAAGTTTGGCTTTCACCTTTTACTGAAGGGGTTGAGCTGTTTAATCACTGTTTAATCATTGCATCTTAGTCCCTAACATTCACCAGTTGATGACGGTTTCCTTCATACTGGTTACAGATCATAACAGAATCCACGCTACGGATGTCTTACATGCCGTTTGGTATCTTACTACCCAGCCGATTCCAGGCCTGTCCACTGTCATTAATGACCATGGATCAGCCAGCGATTCAGGTATGTATCAAGTATGTCTGCATCCCCTTGTGCAAGACAGGAGCATGCATGTGTTGTTCAAAAAAACGATAGCACTTTAATACTTTCTAAATTCTTCGATGACTTTCACTTTCTCAGATTCTGAAAGTGGACTCACACACGGGCATATGGGATATGTGTTCTCAAAAATGTACAGTGTGCCCGATGATAGATACGGATGTCTGTCTGGGAACATCCCTGCCTTAGAGCTGATGGCCCTGTACGTAGCTGCAGCCATGCATGACTATGACCACCCTGGAAGGACGAATGCTTTCCTGGTGGCCACTAGTGCTCCTCAGGTAGGTCTTTAGATTTTTGAGCAGGAGAAATAACTCAGTGCACAGATTTCTCAGAAGAAAATTGACTTTATGAATTGGGTTTGTTATCGGTGCCAAGAAAGGATGTGCTAAACTATACTTAGTCTTCAGTAAGTCTACAATTTTTAGAGACCATTCTAATTTTGAAAAGATATCATGGTTTGTTCTAAGATTTTTATAGTAGGAATGCAATTTTATTACCCATAGGGATCCATCACAGTTGCTTATGACACCTTTTCATATTTCCTGTGACTGAGAGTGAGGCAGAAATGTTTTCAGTCATGGGCTTCTTCGGGTTTCCATTCCTCTTCAATACTTACGTGTTTTTAAGTAGAAGGAAGTAATTCATATGCCAGATACAGAAAGTGACCTTCTAGAGATAATTGGTATATTTGTGTGTTTTCCTGTGTTCTGCAAAGAAATCTAAAGAAAAATTTTAAGAGAAGCTAACTCCGTTAAGGTGGGTTAGTGCCCCTCACTTGCAATACTTTACAAAAAAAAGTTTCAAGGAAAGAAACTTGTATTACAAAAAAGGAAATTTAATGAAGAAAGGTAATCAACACTTAAAAAAAGCTTAAATGATTCTTAGTAACCAGTTGTCACAAAATGACCTTTCTTTATTCCATAAAAAAAGAAATTTCTGGGACCTTGGAAATTAAGTCTCATTATTGTTTGCTATTCCTCTTTGAACTTGAAAGGTAGAGCTCTGAACTCTCTCCCTCACTTGTCCAGGCGGTGCTGTACAATGACCGTTCAGTCCTGGAAAACCATCATGCAGCTGCTGCATGGAACCTCTTCATGTCCAGGCCAGAGTACAACTTCTTAGTTAACCTTGACCATGTGGAATTTAAGCATTTCCGTTTCCTAGTCATCGAAGCAATTTTGGCCACTGACCTGAAGAAACACTTTGACTTTGTAGCAAAACTGAATGCCAAGGTAACCAGATCTCTACCTGTGTTCATTTTATGGCCACATTAAAAGAAGTCATGGAACCCAAGTGTTGAACAAAACAATTGCCATCAACTCTCAGATGTCCACAGTGGCACATAAATGCAATCAAATGTTTGGTATTGATCCTAATCTAGACACTTAAGAGGTTGAGGTGTTGTACATGTATTATACAGTGTTCTATAGACAAATAAGAATAATAAGGCCTAACCATTATCAGGGCCTTTTGTTGGATTTAATTTGCATTCATCACTACGGTATACTTATGTAAGTTAACTGGCAGTATACCAAATTTCATGTATCAAACATGATGTCTGATGCTTGAAGATATAAAGATAGAGCACTTGCCTAGCATGACCAAGGACCTGTGTTCAATCCCCAGCACTGCCAAAAACAAATGTTTTATTCAAACCTAATTGCCCAGATACTGATTCAAGAAAATTTCTTAGCTGTAGCTCTGTTATTTTAATAGAAATGGATAATAGATTCCAACTTTAGCACTTGTAAATTCCACAATTAATCATTATTCTTGCCATCATTCATTAATTTACTTTTAATGAACTGTTTACTATTAATTTATGAAAGCCAATAACATTATTTTAAGTAGCTAAAGACCATACTGTTGGAATTCTGACCTCCGTGGAGCAGAAAGACAATTAACATGCTGTTGTGTTTTCTCTTGTTCACTTTCTGCTGTCATTGAGATGAAACATTTTTTTTGTCCCTCAAACAGGTGAATGATGATGTCGGAATAGATTGGACCAATGAAAACGATCGGCTCCTGGTGTGTCAGATGTGTATAAAGTTAGCTGATATTAATGGGCCAGCTAAATGTAAAGAACTTCATCTTCAGTGGACAGAGGGCATCGTCAATGAGTTTTATGAACAGGTAACTAACTTATCTGCTTAATCTATTGTGGGCTATACTTTCAGGCTATTTGCTAGTTTACCAAAAGGTGCCAAAAGCTGCAAAAGTATAATCACTCTACTTCATATTCATTCATACTTCTATCAAAAGCTACACGGGCCTATTGTGAACAAAAGTTAAGATATGATATGTAAAATTTATACTGAACTATAACCATAGAACTCTAAGATAAAGTTATCTGCAAGCATTTTGGGGGAAGAAGATGCTGAGATAAAGGAATGACCTAGTGAAACATTAGGAAGTCCCCTAAAATACTATGCTTCTATAGATTTATTTCTTGTGACAAAACTAGTTTAAGTATATATGAATATCTATAACATTAAGTATGTTTACTTTTCTACTAGAGTTAATAATAGCAGTGTATGAAAAGGCTTACAGTATTTGACATAGTAACATGAGAGCTACCAGACTACCCAAAAAGCCACCACAGTAACCTAAGTGTGGGCGATCCTCCTCTCATTAGCCACACAGAACTGGATATATTTAAAGCTTCTGTTCAATATTGTGCACTGCTCTCTTAAGAAGTATGTGGCTATTGCTATAGTAGAACTTGGGTGAAGGTCAAGATCAGTAACATAAAGAACCTGAAGAAAGTGAAGCTATTCACGTCGGGGGAAGCAGAGGTAACAGAATGACTAACTTCAGGTAAGCTTATCTTCATGTTGCTGTGGAGATTAAGGAAGGTAAATCATTTGAAGCACACAACATAGATCTAGTTCCTTAGGAATGGTAGATCCCACTCCTCTCCCTGAGAAAGGGTACGGATATAACATAACCAGTCTATAGAATTCATAGCTTCTATTATTCAGATCAATGTCAGAAAAAAATTTATATTACTAAAGTTTTCCAACAATTAGATGAGTTATCTTATTAAGTAACAAATTGTCACTGGACATATTTAAACAGAGACTAGAATGAACTCCTATGGCTGTTACAGGCATGGCTCTTATACAAAATAACGGGTTTGTGCTTTTTTAAAAAATGAGGTATTGCCTGTTCTAGGGAGGATATTAATTCATAATCAATCCTTACATATTAAAATGCAGAAAAACATGAAGGAAAAAGAAAACCCACTTATAATAATTCAACTACTTAGGCATAACCATGGCTAGTATTTTAATTGATTTTCTTCCTTCATTTTTCTAGGTAACCTCTGGTTTGTTATGTTTTTTTTTCTCAGAAAGATTTGAAGTAGTTCAAAAAACATGCATACAATAACACTATTGAAAACATGAAAATATCAAAAAACATATAACCACAAAAGATGTAATTCAAACAAAATCTAGGGTAAGGCAACCACTTGAATTAAGCAAGGAATTATTTTAAGTTTTCTGGCAGTCAAGGCAAAAAAGACAATCAAAACAGATATTTGATTATTATTCTCAGCATTGTGTTTTAAGATATATTCATATTCTCATAGAAGGGCACTGACAAACGTGAAGAAAGGATATCTGCTGACACATTAAAATATTCTTTGCACTTCCTTTTGATAAAAAGCCAAAACCTCAGGATCATAAAGTTAGTTAATAGCAGCAGCAAAGCATTTCTTTAGAAATCTGGCAATGTGGGCAGAATCTCTTACCCATCAACCAAAGGAGTTTGTGCACTGATGTTTGGGTTCTGAGCATCTGCACATTTTAGACGGCAGGTAGATACTGACTTTTCTTATGTTTTGGGCTCTTCTTGCCGTTTACCTTCCTAATGAGCACTCCATGACAAATCCCTCTCTCTAGGGTGATGAAGAGGCTAGCCTTGGGCTGCCTATCAGCCCTTTCATGGACCGGTCTGCTCCCCAGCTGGCCAACCTGCAGGAATCCTTCATCTCGCACATTGTGGGTCCTCTGTGCAACTCCTATGACTCAGCAGGGCTCATGCCAGGAAGATGGGTGGATGACAGCGATGAATCAGGAGACACAGATGATCCAGAGGAGGAGGAAGAAACCACAGCACCAAATGAAGATGAAACCTGTGAAAATAGTGAATCTTCAAGTAAGTCATAGTACCTAGTTTTAAGGGGCTTTTCCTGGGATTGCTTCATTTCTAGGTTCATATGAATTTTATGCTTCTCACAAAAATCATCTGGGCTTTGGGTTTACCTGTGGATAGCTCCCTTCTCCCATATCATAGTGATAGGACCTGCAAAAGTATATAATTTATATTTTGCCACGTATCCTATAAAGACGTGTTCTCTGTCATGTCGTAAAGAAATAATAAGATTTGAATCCTACACTTCACAATATCTTAATGATTCAGAAATGAAAGGAATTTCAGTTACTATATAGACCAATCACAGACTTCTTGGCTTCGTTAAGGGAAAGCTACATGAATAGGTAAGAGGTAGTATTCCTTTATCCGGTCAACAAATACTTCTTGCTCACCTACTCTGTGCCAGGCACTTCCAAGTACTAAAGATAGACCTAGGAACAAAACAGACAAAAAAAAAGTGCTTGCCTTTATAGACTTACATTCTAGTGGGGTTGGCAGACATTAGCAAGACAAATCAGTTTTTGTGCAGTATGTCAGATAATGAAAGCAACTGGAGTGAAAAAGAGATACATGAAATATTCCTGGGAAAGCTCAAAGATTTATATATGATAGCCATGGACACAGGCAATATAAATAAGAGGGAGATTTTTTTATTAGACCTGAAAGAGTGATCCATCAGGATGTGTGTGAAATGGATTCCAAGGAAAAGAGAAAGCAGCACATTCACAGGTCCTGAGGAGAGCTGGGGTATCTGGTCCAGAGGGACAGGGTAGGAAAGCAGCAAGAGAGAAGCAGTGGAGAGCTAGATGATGCCAGGGTATGAGGAAACAAAGGCAGGACTTTGCAGGTCTCAATAAGGATTTTGGCTTTTATACTAAGATGGAAACCATCAGTGATCTTGAGCAGAATGGATGATAGACTCAACTCCCATTTCAACAGGATTGCTTTAGTAACTGTGTTGAGAATATTCTTGTCGTTGGTTGGGAGTAAGGGTAGAAGTAGAAGCATCATTAAGAACACTTAAAATATTCTGAATGAGAGATGACTGTGACCTTGGACCAGGGTGGTAACAACAAATGACAATGAGAATTGATCACATCTGGTAATTGGTTTGGAGTACATCCTGTGGCCAGTCTAATCCATTAGTTAGCTATAAAAGCATTACTTGTCTTCATCTCTTTAAATGTACATCATCTCTTTAAATATTTCTCTTGCCATGAAGAAAGTAATTACTAAAAGCACAATTAGTAAAACCTATCACCCTTGCATGACATTGAACAAACACTGTCCCCGTGCTCACAAGAACATAGCATGTGTTTTCTATCTACCTGTGCAGGAGGACAATGCCTAATCTTAATATTTTTCAAAGCGTTTAATTGAAATGCTACCAATGAAAGGCATTCTGAACATTTTGTTCCTAATTAATCCTTCAGGAAAATGCAAGACTTGTTTCATGTCAACCATCTCGTAGGGAGGGTCTACTCTTTCCCTACTATATTTGTTCTACCCTTCTCTGCCCCCATCCACCCTCTTAGTGTATACAAGCAGAGATAAAGAAGTCAACATAAAGGTCATTATCATGTGTACACTTAAGAGATGGGGCTTTGCAAATTTGGCTTTAGGCCAGATGTTTGCTTGTTCTGTCCTATCAACTTTTGTAACAAATGTGGGAAAGTGAAAAGTTGTTTTCCTTCAATATTCTACTGTCAAAGTAATTATATTTCTCAGATGCTTATAAAAACATGTTTTCTGTTGATCTTGGGATTCAGAGTTAGAAGCTGAGTTTTGGGATTCATGAGTTATTTATTCATTTGTTTATTTAATATGAGCATATTGGTTTTCTGTTTTTTTTTTTTTCATTTCTCCCGTCCAAGTACTAACCAGGCCCGACCCTGCTTAGCTTCCAAGATCAGACGTGATCGGGCACGTTCAGGGTGGTATGGCTGTAGACTTTTTTTTTCATTTCAAAGAACCAAGTAGCTGGCCGTCTTACTAAGAAGGCAGTTTTTCCATTGAATGATATTGGAAGGTGTTTGTCAGCTGAGCCTCTGGAAAATCTTTGCTCCCAAATGCCCTGCCTGATTGCCTTTTGAACTCAAGCACACATTGAAAATACCAGCATTGGGAATTGAAGGACCCTGGTCAGAACATTATTTAAAAGGATTGAGAAGAAAATTCTACAATTAAATATTGTATTCCCTTCTGTTTGTAAGGTTCAGTAGCATAATGGCCTCCAGAGTCTCATGTTTTTATCAAGTTCACTAAAGCAAGAAAGAATGAGAATTCTGTGAATTTTATTTGCTCCAGGCTTTTAAAAGTTAACTGGCAATTTTACATTAAAATATAAAACATCCCAACCACAGGTGATTTGCTACTGTAGCTTTAGAAATGCAGTCTTTGAAGTATTCCTTTGCAGCCCAGAAAATGGTAAATATTGAACAATATTAGTATTTCTAAATACTGACCATACAGACTAGTGAAATTTTGGTAGCTACCTCATTTTATAAAACACAAGCCAAGGCTCAGAAATGGAAGCAATATATGAAGGTTGTAGAACCTGAGGACACCCAGCTTTCTTAATTGTTAATTCCATGCCTTCTGATTGTTAGTAATTTTAATTTCACAATTCATACTGGCTGAGACAGTTACCTAGAGTTAGCCTGCTACTTTAATTTCAGAAAAAAATTAAATATGCACAGATAACTTCTACAGTTTGTGAGACTTGGAGCAATCCCAGGAAATGCACAATAAAATGTTTCAGTATGGTGTCCTAGGGAAAGGCAGCATTTACCTCACCTCATAATTAAATCTGAAAGATTTCCTAGGGCGAACTAAGAGGTTTCTAATGAAGTACTAAGCTGCGTTTAGAATTTGAGCAATGAAAGGCTCTTTGTTCTCATTTCCAGAGGTTCCAGTGCTGGACAATTTGCCCATGTTTTAGACCACCTGCAGATGCTAATCTACGCAAATTTATTTGGTACAAGCTTTCTTCTACGTCACCTTAGAATAATTCCAGAGAGCTTTACTGATAATGTTTAGCAGCATTAATAAGAGAACAGCGGCTCTCATGGGGGCTACCCTGAAAGGAAAAAGAGAAAATTGAGCTTGTGTTAGCTTCTTCCCCATAAACGTGAGCAACTTTAAGGTAGAGCTCTACCTTGAGCAGTAGAGTGATTCCTGTAACTGTGGCTCACATCTGTCCTTCAGCCACTGTTATCTGTTACTCTGGCAATGGAAAGCATTAAGTTTGAAAGCAAGTTCTCTTTTCAAATTTCTCAACAGAAGCTGATTTTTACTAGTTGCAAAAATAAAGTATATATAAATGGATAGATGCCTGTTAGAATAATTTTTGATTTGCTTTTTAGAAATCAAATGTATTAATATACTTTGTTGACCATGATAGAAAGTCAATAAAATTTGATAGAAAGTCGATAAATAAATGAGAATGTGCAGGAAAGTTTATTTGCATTTCCAGTTATATACATTGTCTCTGTTAGGAAGCTTTCAGATGAGGAAATTGCTAACAGTTGTTGAAACAAAAACCTGAGGTGAAGTCCTACAAAGGCCTGGAGGACCTGGCGGGGGCAGGGGTGGTGGAGGTTGTTGGTTAATGTAACTGGGCCATCTCTTTGTGTTAACTGGCATCTATTCAAGTGAGTTCCTACCCTCCCATGAGACTGATAGATGGGGTTCTTTCTTCCTTACCCTGCCTTCCTACTCCCTCTTCTTCTTCCCCATCCCTTTCTCTTTCCCTTTCCCTTCTGTTTCCTTTTCTTCTTCCTTCCCTTTTGTCTTCCCTCTTTCCTTTCTCCTTTCTTTTCTCTTTCTTTCTCCCTCCCCCCTTCTGTCCTCCTCCTCCTTTTTCCTCTCTCCCCATCCCTCCCTCTCTTTCTCTCTCTCCTTCCTCTGTCCTCCCCTGCCCTTATTTTATTGTAGTAGGAACCCTTCACATTAGATCTACCCTCTTAACAAATTTTAATTTAAGCATACAAGTTCTAGAGATCTGGTGTACTACAATGTCTTCATGGTCAGCCATACTGTGTTGGCACCATCTTTCTTGATGATCACCTTATAAAGGTGACATTGCTGGATTGTAAATCTGCTGGGAGGCTGGGAGAAGATTTATCTATATTGCAAAAGGGCAGAGAAAGAATTTTCAATTACAAGCTTTCTAAAGTAAATGATCTAGGAAAATGGAGATCAGGGTCCTAAAGCCTGGGGAAAAAAGGTGTCTAAAATTTATTCAAACTGAGAGAAATAGTACATTAATTTTGATCACAATGTGTATGCCTGTCCTAAAACAGAGCACATATTCAGTTTCATTTTGGCGCTCTCCTCTAGAGAATGCAAGATCCTTTAAGGCAAGCTTTAAGCCCAGTTTTTGTTTTAAGAGCATCAGAAAACAAAAACATTCTTGTTAGCAGGTCAGTGTCGGTTTGATTGATGGATCCATCTCGTGAATAAATGATGAACACACTAAATATTTGTAAATTATTTCTTGTAACTCTGCCTGGGTTCATCTCCCCTGGCATTTATTCAATTTAGTGAGTTTGTTGTGTATCTATATGATTTAAAAGAATTCACGATCATTTAATTTCATGTAGTTTTTCTGTACTGTATTTTAAAATTTGACCTTTACTGTCCTGTAAAGTGCAGGAAATTTCTGTAGCATATTATCACTAGCACTTCCCCAAAAATGTCATAGATGGCCTCCAAGAGAACTAGTTCATTTGACAAATCCCATAGCAATTGACTTTATTGTTTTTACTTGCTGTTGTTAACATTTTTCCCTTCTTCCATTTTTTACTTCCTTCCCATGCAAACATTGTAAATCATAACCACTTCATTAAGTAGACCCAAATATCCCTTTGATTATCCTATTAATTTGTACTGTTACCTGTTTAATGCAGTCTCAGATGGGAATTTCCTGTGGACCACTTTTGGACATTATTGTCATTTTTACCACTCATCAACACTTCATCATTTACCTGAGACTGTGGAATAGACACTAGAAAGAAAATCATTCATCCAGGAACTCTTACTGGAAAGTGACTGAAGTCTGGGACTTTGTGGCTATGCACACAAAAGGGAAGGAAAGAACTTCGGTGCTAGGAAGTTTACAACCCAATGGAAGGATCTTTGCTTGACCTCTAAATACTCAGCCTAAGTCTGGAAGATGCCACTATATTCTGGTTGCTTAGAAAAGAATAGCCCTTCCTAAGCTGTAGACCAGTTGCCTTCTTTGCCCCCCTACACAAGGTGTTCTAGACTTCTTGTGTTCAACAGACCTCTATTCATCTTCCTCACATCTGACCTCAACTAATGATCTAATGCTCCCTTCTCAGTACATCTTGCCACCATTTTCTCAACAGAGCAGGCCAGAAAGCTCAGGGTTTTATTTGATACCTCTCTCTCCTTCATTCCCTACCTCTAGTTGATTCTCTAGTCCTAACTTACTCTGCCTCACAAATATATCTCATATTTACCTACTTAGCTTCATCTCTACTACCCCTATCCTAGTCCAAGCTACCATCATCTTGAAATAATGAGTATCCTTGCTACCTCCCAAAGACTTTATAAGACTCAATACACTTGTACCTGATCACTCTCTGTCTTTCAGCTAGAGGAAAACCTTCTTCTTGGCAGGCATTACATCACTTAAATACCCTTTATCCAAAATGCTTGGGTCCGGAAGGATCCAGTTTTCTGATTTTTCAGATTTGGGAGGATTTGTATGTGTATAATGAGATCTCTTGGGAATAGGACCCAAGTCTAAACAAAAAAAAATTCATTTGTGTTTCTTATATGCCATGTATATACATAGCCCAAGGGTACTTTTTTTATAGCACTTGGAGTGTTCCTGTGTTTTTACGATGACATGACATGTGGTCATGTATAGACTTCTTTACAAGGAGCATATTCCACTCACATGATTTGATTCTGCAGCATTTCAGATTTGGGGGTTTGGGGACTAGAAATGTTCAATCTGTATCTATCTTGTCTATCACTTAGTCACCACAACTTAGCACAATACTTGGTACCTATCAGCTGTTTAAAAATAACTTAGGGATTAGAAGCCTAAATAATAAATGAGGGCTTTAATTTAGTAGTCTTCTTTAAAAAACTTTGTGTTTCTTTTGTTGAAATTGCTTTTATTGTACTTCTTCAACCAAGAGATGTAATTCTGTGAGAACTGTCTTCAGTACTTTCAAATTGAACACTTGCATTACATTGTTTGGTCACAAGAAAATGTTAATTATTCATATATTAAATGCAGATTTTCTAAGCTTTATCATTCTGTATGGGTCTTTACAAGGCTCCTCCAAAGAGCCTCTAGTCTAGAGAGGAACTGATACCTAAATGTGAGAACAAGGTAAATATCTTAAAATATCTTAAAAGAGATACTTGGCATTGGTTTTGTTACAAGTGACAAAATTCCAGTTGAACAAGTAAGTGTATATGAAGCCAATAAGAATTACTGGCTTATGTAAGCTGTTCCTCATATCATTGGTTACTTGAACCTACTCTTGTCTGCCTCACCTGCCTCAACCTTACTTTCTTCATGGGGTTGGAACTATAGCCAGCTCTAAGTTCACTTTATTCCAGAAATACAAGCAGAAGAGAAAAGATTTACAACCCAAGCCACTCAACTTCCACATTCAAAAAATCCCAGGGAAGGACTCTGATAGGCCTGATACGTCACATAGACCTGATGGGTCACATGACTGCCCATTGGCCCAATCACTGTGACATAGTTTTTGTTGTCAGGCCATTGGTGGGAAATAGAGTTTGCTAATCTTTACTATGTAACTGAAGGAAAGGAGGAGAGCTCTTACCAAATAATTTGAATGCACAGACACCAGAAAAGAAATAATAATAGAAAAGGAAAAGTAGACATAGTGTCTGTCCTGGAAGGTATATATGGAGCAACATGAGAATTTAGCAGAGAGAAAGACTATTTCTTAGAAGAGAAATCTGGCTGATCTTTAAATAATGAATGGGTACAGACTGTTAGTGATTAGGAAAAGCATTTCAGAAACAGAAGGCCTATCATCTTGAAAGTAGAAGAGTTCAGAACCAAACAGATTGAAGGAGCATAGAGGGAAGCCAGGCCGCACAAAGGTAAGACTGCAAATGTAAGTTTGTGCCAGTTTAAGGAAGAACTTGGAATGGAATTTGAAATTAATTTTTTAGTTCATGCAAAGTAAAGGGCTAACATCAAAATTGTCTTTAAAGAAACCAATCTTGCAAAGACTTGTGTGAATTAAATTCATTGACAAATGAAGGCATAATGAGGAGTTATTGCCGTGGTCTAGGTGAGAGAGCTTGAGAATCAGCATGTAGTGGGAGTGATCACAAGACACAGCAGAAGCTTGAATTTTCACTACCAAATATAAATACTGTGAACTATTATTTCTAAGTGATATTTTGACAGTTATTGCCAGCTTCCATTCATCTCCCCATTCTCAAAAGGTACATAAGTATAATATACAAATCAGGGGATAAATACATGTACCCATTTGGTCGTCTCTCAGTAACATGAAAAGAAATACCTTCCGTGTGTTCAGCACACAAATAAACAGTCTAATTTGGTGGGGAATTTTGTTTCATTTTGTCCCAGGAAAGAAAACTTTCAAGAGGAGGAAAATCTACTGCCAAATAACCCAGCACCTCCTACAGAACCACAAAATGTGGAAGAAAGTCATTGAAGAAGAGCAGCGGTTGGCGGGCATAGAAAATCCATCCCTGGACCAGACCCCTCAGCAGCACTCCTCAGAGCAGATCCAGGCCATCAAGGAAGAGGAAGAAGAAAAGGGGAAACCGAGAGCAGAGGAGATCTCAGTCCCAAAACCGAACCTGTGACCATGGGTAGAACAAGTTGTGTTTCTAGACAGGTTATTTTGTCACAGACTCTTTTCAAACCAGCACAACACTTAGACACAACACTGTAGAAATATGAGAAGATGGGCAAGTGGCTATTGCATTTGGGATCCTTGGCATTTGATGTGTTCATTTTTACAGTGGAGTACCTTGTTGAAAACTTTTGCTCCAAGAAGCTTTCACATTGTGACACCAGCTTCTAAGGATTTTTTTTTAAGGAAGAAATATATATGTGTGTGTGTATATAAGTTCCCACATAAATACATGTAAACATATTCACCCATGCACACGCATACACACATATACACTGAAAGCCAGGATGACTGGCTCCACAATTTAGTATCATTTATATTAAGATTTGTAGTGGTCACTGTGATATAAGAAATCATAAAGGAGAACAAATCACAAGGGAACTGGTGTGGATTAGCAAGGAAACAGTGCAGCAATGTAGGTTACCAACTAAGCAGCTTTCATTCTTCGTACCCAGGGAGGGAAGTTCCAGAGGACTATGTGAATTCTGATATACCCTGACAACACCGTGTGTGTGTGTGTGTGTGTGTGTGTGTGTGTGTGTGTGTGTGCGCGCGCGCGCAACAGAGAGAGAGAGAGACTCAGTGGTGTTCGTGGTGTGTGCACGTGTGAGTGCACATATAAAGGCAGATTTTGTGGTTTTAGTAGTTCGTGAAATAGCTGTAGCAGGTGACTCAGTACATGTGAGCAAGCAGAAAGAAGTTCATTCTGGAGTGTCTTTGACAGGCAGTCATCCAAATGCCCTCGTCCATTCGGCTTCAATAAAAGGTCCTTTGCAGATGGCGGTCATTCACAGGCCACATGTTTAACACTACTGTGTGCACCAATTGGAGGTGCTCTACCGCCAGCCTCACACCTGGAACACTGAGGTGTTCTGGCCTACTTATCTAAAGAATGGATAGGAGCTGACTGTGAGTATGCATGTCACTCACCTAAGATCAAATCGCCATGTAAGGGGATGACATTCTTTATACATAAGAACCTAAATGGAGCTGGAGTCAGCTCTTTTCATCAGGTAAGTGTTCTGAAAGGATGCCAAAGAAAGCCCAGGAAATTACACTTAATAGTGATCTCCTATGCCTCCTTAATTTGCTACAAATTGTGTCGTGGAAAAAGAAGAAAGGCAAACAGAAACCCACTATGGGTTACCTTACAAGAAGTGAAGGAAACAATGTCCACCTAGGGTTTTGGTGTTGACACAAGGAACGACTGATCCTTGGCAACCGTTGAAGATTGGCTTTGGTGGGGTGCAGGTCTCTCTGACACCCATGTTGTAGTGTTCCATACAATGTGCGGTGGGCTAGCTTCCATCTGCAATCTGACCCAGTGTCATGCTTCTTTTGACCAAAAAGATTAAAGAGGGATTGTTTATGGATCAGGCTCTTGTTGAAAGGTTGTTTTGTTTTGTTTCGTTTATCTACACTTGTTTATGCTGTGAGCCAAACCTCTATTTAAAAAGTTGATATTCACTTTCATTATTTTATTTCGTATTATTATATATGTCATTAATAGTTATCTTGATGTAAATATACAGATTTTTTTGTTTCTGTAGATAGTAAACTCTTTTTTAAAAAAAGGGAAAAGGGAAACATTTTTATAAAGCTATATTTTAATCACCATTTTTATACATCATAGCTATCTCCACAAGCCCAGGAACGGGGTGAGGATTCATTTGCATGAGGTCTATGGACAGCCACTCATCTACCTATTCTAATTTAAATAATGATCTGACACAGTTATTTTTGCCAATAAAATGAGGATGCTGCAATTAATTTTTTTAGTATTAACTTTTGCTAACTGAATGAATTTGGGGTCTTTATCTCCCCTATGAAAGACTTTTTCAATGAGTACCAAATTTTTATAGTTGGGGTCCATTTCTCTCCAACTCTTTTTGGTGATAAATCTTCATTCAATTCTGAGCATACAGAATCACTCATCATCCAAACATGCAGCTTCCAAGAAAACCTTAATTCTCATTTCTACTTTTTACCTCCTCAAAAGTCATAGAAAGGATTGTTTACATTAAAATTTTCTCATAAATACTGTATTCTTCCCTTCCAAAGCATGATTTTCCAATAATCCATGGCATTTTTTTCAAATTAGGTAAAGATAATAAAATCAAAACTAGACATGATTTCAATGAAAATTTTCTAATAAACAGGAAAATATGAAAAGGATCAAATGGATGCAGACTCTACCTAAATAATTAGAATATAGTTCGGTATATTTCTGAGTTAACACCAGGTCTTCATTATTTAACAATTATTGTTGTTTCTATTCTCTTAGTATTGCCTAGGTATCTCTATGCTTGTGACATTTATGGTGAGTCAAATACATTTCCCCAGTGAAGTTCACTGTTATGCTTCCCTTGCAAATGAGCAAAGAAAGTAGAAAGCATTTATAATTACTTACATACTCTTTGCATCTTCTTCCTTAAAACTAACTTTTACTCCTTGTCCAAATGGCTGTATGCCTCTTACATAAATATAAAAGGAGGAAAAAACTAGGAGTGGAGCAAGTGGAAATGGCAGAACCATTGTGTGAATTTGTAGCTGTATTCTGGCAGTTTTATTGAAGTTGTAAACCTGGTTGACACAGGGCAGGGGAGGTCTCAGCAAACTGCCTGATTTTGTTTTGCTTTAAAGTAACATAAAATAGTAAGATTACTAATGACCAAAGCATTTGGAGCCTCTTTATTCCAGAGTTATGTTCATCAATCCAGACAGATTGATAATGTTTTTCTTAAAGAACTAATTTGCCATTATATCAAAGCCAGAAGTCAATTGAAATAAAGGGATGGAGTTCCACAAAGTGTGTGACTTTCATATCTACATGCACATCTCAAAGGATGCCTGGGGACTGAGAGACTTTTCTCCCTCTTTTTGATGACAGCAATATTTCTTCATTCACTTTTGATTACAGAGCTTACTTTCTGAGGTGCCGATGTATTTCCTGTGATTTACTACATTTTTCTATGAGTACTTACAGGTGCCATTAGATAAACTCAGGTCTTTCAAATGAAGGACTTTCTAGCTCACTTAGGGAAAAGGGTAACTGCATAGACAGCCATAAAACATTAATGGTAGAAAAACCTGGAACTGCTTGCTCTCTGTGAAGTAAAAGGCTAGGTATATTCTATGTGTTATCAATATCATTTTCAGCATGCTAATAGAATGTCTTTCCTATGAATTAAGCCAATTTTAGAGTATTATTTCCTTGGTTAAAAAACCCACTTTTGTTTTTTTCTTAACTAAAATTTTATCATTTATATAAGACCTGGTTTTGTTCTCAGTAAAAGATGAAGATGGTGCCCTGTATGTTTATATTGGTCTTCATCTGACATGTGAAGGATCTCTTTATCATATTATGTTGAAGAAAGTGTCTACTTTCTAAAAACATAGTACCCAATTCTGTCGGTTTGATTTTGGTTGAATTCTAGAACAAATCCTAACCATTGCAATCCCAGTAATTCTAAAGAAAAAGGAACTGAATGTCACCCAGACTGTTTCATTAGATGTATGAACACTTATGCCCTCAGAGAACTTCCGTGAAGTCAAAAAACTGTGCAAAAAGCATGAGACTCAAGCCTATTCTTTGTCTGGTGGAAAAATCTAAATTATTTTCTAAGTAATGAAATATAAAAATTATCATTGTAAATAAAGTCTAAAGTTTGAAATGACTGATTGATAAAAGTGACGTATTTGTGTGATGGACAACTCCTAACTAATGAGGATTGAATAACCCCCAAATCATGTAGACGTCGTGAGGTATTCTTGGTGCTTCCTCATCATGGTCTCCATTCTCCTTGCCATTTATAATAACCCTAAAATAATATTGAAAACCATAGTGAGGGTGTTGCCCTCTTCCTTGCTATCCCTGAGTCCTACAGATAGCCTTTCCTGACTTATATGCCTCTTACAAATAACTTATTTGCCTCTTCAAACTGACTGCAGGCCACCATAAGGGAGCATCCTGCAAACTTTTACAGAAGTCAAGATTCTTCTTATTCTACAGACTATCACCTAACATGGAAAAAATATCAGCAGATTTTCAGATGCTAATACTTCAATTCCAAGTAATTGAAAGTCAAAATATCTCTATGCTTTGAAACCAATTTGAGTCTCTTTCACCTTCTCACCTAATGACCAATGGAATATTTTAAGACCGTCCTTGAGGTTGTTATTTCTCTTATCATTTCTCCATGAAGGAAAACTATGACTTTGCTGGTACTGTCAGTCCATTTTTTATCTGTTCAAGCAAATTGAAATTTAAGACTAGGAAACCAATTAGCCATTTTAGGGAAAAAAAATCTTCCCAAAACTAAATTATTCTAGCAATTTCTAATGAAGAGGAAATATATCAATTTTGGATACTATATTCATATCATATTAATTTGTTCCTCTAGAAAATACTAGAATTCTTATTGAAAATTCAATTTGGAATGAATTAAAATATAAGGACTGAGTTAACAAACTACAAGCTATGATTTAGATAACTTAAATTGAGTTTGGATGACTATTGGTATGTTTCATACCATTGAACCATTGTCAGAGAACAGGAACACATTTTTTTCATCCATTCTAGGCATCACAGATGGCAGGTATTTTGTGCTAATACCCAATGTGCTGCATTTGTTGAGACACTGTTGCTTTTTTACCTTACTGGTGCTTTCCTGCCTTACCTGAATTGATCTTCACATTCACACTAGCAAATTATCCCAACAGCAAGATAACAATGGTGATAAAAATATTTGAGCTTTTGTGTTTGTATTTGCAAAATATGCTTGCAGACACAAAACTGAAGATTAAGCTTTTATATGCTTTGTGGAACTCCAAAATGTTCCAAAACTGCTCTTTGAAAAATATTGATCCAATACCAATTCTTTTAATGTAAGTCATTCTGTGTATATTGAACTATGTATAGATGGACATAATTGGTTTTGACATATGCCTAAAGCTCTAAAAAGAATCGAAGCTGTTTATCTAAAGGCATCTCGCTGTTGTCCATACCATGTGTTTAGACTGATTACTTTATCCAGGTACAGTGGCTCATGCCTATAATCTCAGCTACTTGGGAGGCAGAAGAGGAGGATTGTGGTCTGAGGCTAACCCAAGTAAAAAGTTGGCTAAACCCTATGTCAAAAGACAAGCTGGGCATTGTGAAACATGCCTGTAATTCCAGCTACATAAGATCCTCGTACCCAAGAAGGAATAGGTAGGAGGATGGCTGGCCCTGGGCAAAAAGTATGAGACCTTGCAAAAAATAACCAAAGGAAAAAGGACTGGAGGTACTCAAGTGGTAGAGTGCTTGCCTAGCAACTGTGAGGCTTTGAGTTCAAATTCTAATACTGCCAAAAGAAAAAGAAAAAAATTGATTACCTTAACATATGTTGGTATTCCTGTATTTCTACTTCCTTGAAATGTCATGGCATACAGAACAAAAATTAAGCCTTCTCTCTAAAGACAAGAAATGCTAAATAAATATACCCAATAAATATACCCACTTGAAAT